TTGTGCACCTATCTGTTTTTATTATGACCTAAATTTCAGTGCATCTGCTGATTAACTAAATGTTATGTCAGGACTTAAATGTTGCTTTTTTCCCTAGGACAGGGGTCACCAATCCTGGTCCTGGAGGGCCGGTGTCCCTGCAGGGTTTAGCTCCATCTAGCCTCAACACACCAGCCTGGATGTATCAAGTATACCTAGTAAGACCTTGATTAGCTTGTTCAGGTGTGTTTGATTAGGGTTGGAGCTAAAATCTGCAGGACACCGGCCCTCCAGGAACAAGTTTGGTGACCACTGCCCTAGGGTATAAAACATATCCAAATGAATTTGCTGATTTGAAAGGCCAACAGGCTATGCTGGCTTGCAATTGAACATTTATTAGAGGTGCCCAAACTTTTGCATAAAATTGTCTCTATATTTTATGTCTTCTTAATTGTAAGGCCTGAAGTGGCTTTTCCTATAGCAGCAAATTCTAATTTTCTTGATATTTGATGCCAGTTTATCAGGAAGTGCTTTACTCACAAATATTTTTTGCGATATTCCTGTTTTGCGCATACATTTAATTTGCATGTTTAGATAGAAATATAGCTATGATATGTGATATATTCCACACCCCTGCAACCCCAAACAAACCATCCATCAACCCCAAACCACCGCACGATAAGTGTTTCTGCATTGAATTAGAGGTGGTGATCAAGTTGTATATCTATATAAATGTATAAAAAATACTAAATATAGCAGAGCAGCAGATGTGCTTATTCATCTGTCAGTTCCCCAGCTGGTGCAGAAGTCTGCAGAGCTTGACGATGAAAACATTCATACACTTAAACACACCACCCAAATACAGAAACACAAAGCACTGTCATGACAACACAGCTAACAATCAAAGAGTATGGCACCATGTGTTTTGGCAGAGACAGCGGCAGGTAGCAAAAATAAGTGTGTTAAGCCCATCAAGCCGCGCGTAACATGGGACTCTCCACAAACAGCAGGGTTAGAGGCCTGTAAATCAGACGCGCAGGTGCTCGGATGAAGGAGAGAGGGAATGTCTTGTGCTTGTGGCCGGTTTTTCTCTTAGCATGCAATCCCTCTGGTCTCTCAGCATGACTCCGGTACTGACTCATATGTCTTTGTGCACATCCTGGTTTCGGTTGCAAAGCATTTGTCCTGCCCTCGGCCACTGTGAATCCTTAGTTTTGCTAACGTCAATGCACAAGTCTTTGAGGTCGGATGAGTTATAAGAATGTGCATTTCAGGCAGATATGGATAGTTCACTTTCAAAATGAACGAGCAAACAGACCGCCATTTAAGATTTCGTTGAGTAAAAACGTCCTATTGACTGTATTTAAGTTTCACAATTTAAAGGCTTTTTTTAAATACTGTATTGCTGTATTTTTTAACGCTAGCCCTAACCTAATATATTTTGCAATATGACTAAAATATAGTAAGAATCACTAGATACAATAACTTGTTAATGATATTAGACTACAAGGGACGTACAAAATTAAATAGAAATTATTAAATATATTGAATTTATACAATTGTACTGTAAAATATAAAATGTGTAGAAAAATATGATACCAGATATATATAGTTGAGGTCAGAATTATTAGCCCCCCTGTTTATTTTTCCCCCAATTTCAGTTTAACGGAGAGAAGATTTTCTCAACACATTTCTAAACATAATAGTTTTAATGAGTCATTTCTAATAACTGATTTATTTTCTCTTTGCCATGATGACAGCACATAATATTTGACTAGAAATTTTTTAAAACACTTCTAAACAGTTTCAAGTGCCATTTAAAGGCTTAACTAGGTTAATTAGGTTAACTAGGCAGGTTAGGGTAATTAGGCAAGTTATTGTATAACGATGGTTTGCTCTGTAGACTATCGGAAAATATATAGCTTAAAGGGACTAAAAATGGTTTTAAAAAAATTTAAAAACTGCTTTTATTCAAGCCAAAATAAAACAAATAAGCATTTATCCAGAAGAAAGAATATAATCAGACATACTGTGAAAATTTCCTTGCTCTGTTAAACATAATTTGAGAAATATTAAAAAAAAAAATTCAAAGGGGGCTAATTATTCTGACTTCAACGGTACAGTACAGTTCAGTTCGGTACGTTTTTATGGCCATTTCCACTGTCAAAAGGTACCTAAAAGCGAACCGTAGCTTACCAATTCTTGGGTAGGCATTGAAAGGGTACCAAAAGATGGAGCAAGACGCGCAACTGAATGCTATTGGTTTACAGAGATGCGTCACTCGCTCATGAAATGAAGGAGCCGCCATTTTTAAATACAAAAAAAGAGACATTACAGCATAATAATATATACATATAATAGTGAGCCATAGTCGACCTGAGCTTAAACAAACCTTGTCGTTGTCTTGATAAACAACCACAAAGCTAATAAAAGCAGAATCTACCCTGTGCCCCGTAGTTGTTTACAAGGCCGTCTAAATCGCGAGGGGTTTCACTTTCTCGTGTGCGTTCACCACATGTCTATATTTGAAATAACAAATTTCTTAAGCTAATAATAGTAATGTGAGCATGATTATTGAAGTGCTTCTGACATCCGATCCTTTCAGAAACGGACAAACGTGAGAATGATGCGTGAAAAAACAAAGGAGGAGCCGGAAAAAAAAAAGGAGTAAATGATTGTTTCAGCAACCTAAGCCATGAACACACTGCCATGTTTAACTATTATCATCACTTTTTGGACTATTATTAACTGGGAATGATCAAATTACTTTCTAACAAGAGGTTATGTATGCACTGACTGCTGGTTACATTGCGTGTTGTTTTTGAACCCAAATAAGGACTAAATGTATTCTGTGTGTAGTTTTTTCTGTAATTGGTAACATATCAGATACTGTAACAGTCTGTATGTGTTTCATATATGTTGCATTTATTATTTTTTTTATATAATTACAGACGTTACAGTAGGCTATTTTGCATTGATCTGCAGTTATAATCGAATCTTGTTCATAGAAAGGTTAGTAATGAACATTTATAAACCAGTATTTATGTCTATAAAGCATCTGTTTTTGTGAGAAGTGCTACTTATGTGATATGTGAATGACCCATATATCTTTTTTCTGACATTTCCTCCAGCGAGAATGACGTCAACTAAAACTTTCTGTCGTACACCATTGGTACCCTTTTGGCAGTGGAAATGCAAGCCTGATAAAGGCCAAGAGTTATCATTATATAACTGGTTAAAATGACTACTTCACTCTAAAACCATTAACACGCATGCTTACTTAATTAAATCACACCAGTGTGATTTGACAGTCCCAAAATGATTTGACAAATAATTCCAATAGCTAGGTTTCTTCTCCGTACACACATGCATGAAAAAGCATCCAAATTAAATGTACAACAAACTCCATTTCCCAAGCAGAATACCTTCTCTCCTCTCTGCCCATCCGTTCCTTGATCGCCCTACATTAACGTACAGATGAGGAGATTTTCAGCACACAATCCATCCCACAAACACACACACCCTGCTTGTGAAAAAAAATGCAGACATGGACTCATGTAATCCCTAGCAAAAAGATGAAGAATGGCACAGTTCAAATGAAGATGCCAGAAACCATAAATGGACAAAAAAATAGTACAAGTACTGTGATCCTAGGAGTATGGAGAGTAGTGGGAGTAGGAGAAAGCATTAGGACGTTTCACTATGGGGCTTTACAGGGTGGTCCTGGGACAGAAGCGGGGCAGACGGGGATGTGCAGAGGAAATGAAAATTCCATCAAACTCAGGCTATTAAAGGAGTTCGGTGGGACACAGATTTCTCATAAGATGTCTGGCCCATAGACTCAAGCCTCTGCTTCCTCTCCCGTCTGAACACAGGTTTATTTAAAGACTCTGTGAAATTGTTTGGCAAGCAGTTTTCTTTCCTGTGTTGTTACATTTCCTACATAAATATAAGTTTGGGTGGGGCATGCAGTTAATTTCTTTCTAGTTTCAGTAAATTTTGTACTTCCACTTTAAATTATTTAGATGATTTTTAGATTAGATTCAACTTTATTGTCATTACACATGTACAAGTACGGTGCAACGAAATGCAGTTTAGGTCTAACCAGCAGTGCAATAGCTTCAAGTGCAGGATACAGGTATAAGTTATAAAGTGCACTTATAGAAAAACTATGGTGATATTTACAGATGGATGTACTATCAACATTATACACAGGTTGTAAGTATTTAAGTTGTTTGTCAAGGTAATGTTTTGAAATTTCTAACTTTATTCAAAGTTAAAAGTAATAAGGAAGACTACACAGAATCTGCTGACATTCTTTGCCATTTATGCTAAGACTTTTGTAAAAAAAATCTGCAGATTTATGCAGAATTATTTTGGAAGTATTGTAACAAAAACATTATTATCTGAAATAAAAAATAATTAACTTAAATGTAATGTTTACAATGTAAATCCAATTTGATTCACTTATGTGGTAAACAAAGCAAGTCTCTCATATAGTAGATCAACTAAAAGACAGAAAATATTACTTTACAAGCTGTATTGTAAATAAATCAAATGAAAACTTTCATACAAGTCATTATAAATACTAAAATTAATGTAAAAACTGAATAAAATCAAATGTTCACAGATTTACAGAAGTAAATAAATAGACTCAATGACGAGCTCAAAATCAGTGGATTTCTGCGCATGCAGATTCCGTGTGTGTCGAGTAATATTCACGTATAATTTATTTAATTTCATTTTACCAATTGACTAAAGTGAAGAACAAACTGGACGTGACCAGTTTACCTTTGACGTCTTGCTATATGAAGATAGAAAATATTTGATTACAAATCATGACTGTTGACGGGTTCTGCAGTATTTTGCAGTATTATTTGGTGTTGTGTAAAGAACTGTATGGAAATAATACTTTATTTGTCAATTAAATGTCCTTATTACTTGCTGTTGGCATCATGCTGCCTTTACTTTACCCAGAAACAGCAGCCAAATGGATGTTTAAGTACATTTTTGACACAAAAATGTGAGCTAAATCATGTATTTCCAGTGAGCCTATTCAAGAGTTCACACTTAGCTCATGACTTACGAAAGCTCCTTTGGCATGCTGTCCCGGGAGAGAGCCCTGAGCTCAAGGCATTCCTCGAGTCCAGGGCTCCCTCCCTTTGTGGGGCGAAGGGAGATTGAGCTCAGGGCGATCTCAAAACTCCCCCGCAGCTAGCCAAGGTGAACTTAGCGAAACGACTAATAAAAGAGACTTAGGATTAAGATGTCTATGGTGCGGAGAAATTTATTTTATTTATTTTTTTGAGAGAACTGCAGGCTAGCGCCGCGCAGAGATACCAGAAGCTCAGAAGGGAGCCGGATCTATTGGTATTGTTGCTGGGCCGCTGGGCTACCTATTTTGGATAAAGGTGGGAGAGGGGGGAGGAGGGGGGATTCTTCAAGACGAAAATAGTTGTAAGTGGAAAAGGAGGAGATATATATGGGAACTAGGGATCCTTGATTGAGGGATCGTGATTAGCTAATATGAGCCAGCTGGTTTAATCATGAGTATGTACTCCTCTCGAAATTAGTTTAATAAATTAAACTTCACTTAATCACAACAAATAAAACCATTTGTTATTCTAACCAAAAATATAAATGCCCTAAAAACCAAAAACCTGTTAGAATTTTTGACAAAATGTTATTAGACCCTTATAGAATAAAACAAACATCAACATTTTATGCAAACCTATACCTATACTTTCAGTTAATCAAGAAGAACCGAGACAATAATACATCATGTCCGAATATATAGTTGAAGTCAGAATTATTAGCCCCCTTTGATTTTTTTTTCTTTTTTAAATATTTCCCAAATGATGTTTAACAGTGCAAGAAAATTTTCACAGTATGTCTGATAATATTTTTTTCTTCTGGAGAAAGTAATTTTTTTTATTTCGTCTAGAATAAAAGCAGTTTTATATTTTTTTAAAGCCATTTTACGGTCAAAATTATTAGCCCCTTTGAGCTATATTTTATTTTCACTCTTCTTTATTATTTTTTATGTATTATAGAAGTATCGGATCGGGTTTCGGTATCGGTAGATACTAAAAATTAAATGACTCGAAATTGAGGGCAAAAGAAAAACTGATCGGGACATCTCTAAATTCAATGACCAATTTATTTAAAGATAGCAATACCGTTGACAAGTGAGGGACTTTTATCTGCTTAAAAATATACGAGAGCACACTTTTTCAATTTTGATTTCATGGTGCATTTAAACAGGTAATAAAACAGATATATCTGATTTCTGTCCTAATTTACTCCTAATTTAATAACTTCACCCAAAAACAGTCATAATTTAGCTTTTATGACTATTTTCCTCTTCTCTTTTTAATTTTTAATTGTTGCTGCTTTGAGTTGCAGTATTTATATACTGCAGTCAATAGAATGAGCCAGTAGAGTAAACCTTTTATGTTTTGAAAGGTCAAAAAAAAATTGTGCTTCCTCAAGTCCTCATACCTTGTATTTCGCCTGACCATTCCACAGCAGTGAGACTGTCTGTCACTGCTAGCTTTGGAGAACAGTCTGAATAGCTGTTTCCTATAAAGACTATTTGTGCATCAGCAGGTGTAAACTTTACATGCAGCCCACTTCTATTTACAAGGCAAACGTCCCCCTGGTGAGAACTAGAGTAATCATTCCAGCAGATGAGCAATGCCTCAGACATGTGATACAGTCATAAATACATCTTTAGATGTTTAGATATGCTTCATCCATTTCAAAGGTAAATACAGTTGATGTCAGAATTATTAGCCCCCCTGAATTATTAGTCCCCCTGTTTATTTTTTTCCCCAATTTATGTAGCTTTATTTATGGGACGATTTTTCAACACATTTCTAAACATAATAGTTTTAATAACTCATTTCTAATCTCTGATTTATTTTATCTTTGCCATAATGACTGTAAATAATATTTGAATAGGTATTTTTCAAGACACTTCTATACAGCTTAAAGTGATTTAAAAGCTCAACTAGGTTAATTAGGTTAACTGTGCAGGGATGCGTTTCCCAAAACCATCGTTAGCCAACTAAGGTTGCAAGTTACAACATTACAAACATAGTTCATTGATTTGCCGTTTCCCAAATCCATTGCTCCAACGAACATTCGCAAACTGCCTCGCAAACTTGAGCACTTGAAACTACACCTCTGGAACTGTGGTTAGAAACATACTGTAGTTCCTGGCTGTGTTCTATTCCCACTTATCCCCCTATGCCCTATTAATTTAGAACATTCTAACTTTCGAAGTTGGAATTATCAAAAATAAAAAAAAATCATTAAGGTCGTCTCTCTTAGGTGTAATTTGCTTTCAAAGTATTTTTACAGTTCAATTTTAGCGATCTTTATGTTTACAATTGTGCTCTCTTCGCAGTGCACTTTGAAAACATTGATATAATTTTGAACACAGCCTCATGGCAAAGCTATAGGTGACCTATTATTTAAAAGTGGAATTTATGTCACGTCTCCAAAGCTTGTGAAAACAAAAAAACATAGCATATACGTTAATTCTTTTAATTTATACTGGGTTATTTATTAGGTATCTGTACTGTATTTGACATGGGCCTGCTGGTTAGAACATTTCTGCTGTGGTTTGCATGTGTCAAATTGTAAAAGTAGACTTTTCAAAAAATAAAAAAATAAATAAACAATATCCTACTTAAAAAAAAATAAATAATAATAATCATTAATATTATTAATATTATAACAAATATATTTATAACAAATAACCTCATTATTTATTTATATGATTTATATATGATGTTAGAATAGTGTTAGCTTTTGTAAGTGATTTTATGTTTTGAAATAGAATATGTAATGTTCAACTTCTCAATAATATCAAACATAGGCCTTATATGTGCCATTTACATATTTTAATTTATAAAAAAACAATAAAACGAGTGCATGTTTTTACCAAAACTAATATTATTTTATTTTAGTTGCATGTTTGTGTAAAACAATAAAATTTGCACAAAGAAATGATGGGGTTCTTATCTAAAGAATGTGTTACTCCACCCCGTTTAGAGTTTCATTATGGCCGGTTAACCCTATAACTAACCTGGTTCAAGCGATGGATCTGCAACAGGGAAACTAGGGGAAACTACTTTTCCCAAACATTGCATCGAACTATGATAGTTCAGCCACGAGTTATGTCGTTGTTTAAGAAACACACCCTAGGTTAGAGTAATTAGCCAAGTTATTAGATGACAAGGTTTGTTTTGTAGAATATCGAGATAAAATAATAGCTGAAAGGGGCTAATAATTTGACCTTAAAATAGATTTAAAAAAATTAAAAACTGCTTTTATTCTAGCCAAAATAAAACAAATAAAACTTTATCCAGAAGAAAAAATATTATCAGACGTACTGTGATTGATTGAAATTTCCTTGCTCTGTTAAACATCACTTGGGAAATATTTAAAAAAGAAAAAAAAATTCAAAGGGGGGCTAATAATTCTGACTTCAAATGTATCTGTATGTAATGCAACAAAACTCACACCTGTTTGATGTAATAAACCCCTAAAGCAATATGATAAACTGAACTGAACGCAAATCTGACATTTGCATACACAGAACAACAACAGCAATCTGTCATTGGGTGAAATGAACGGATAGCCACACCCTGGGAACATTCTATTGGTTGGGACAATGTTGCTATGTTGAGCTGGTCAAGATCAATCTTTTTGCTAGAACCAAGACAATAAAACACTTTATCAACCTACAAAACGGTTACTTTCAGATTACTCGTTAAACCAATCACTGAAAAATATAATGCATCATTATTGCATTTTTTAAACAACAACAACAACAACAACAAAATAATAATCAAATGTGTTCCTTACCTTCTGTCCTTCATCTCCTTTAATTCCCTGAAGAGAAACCGAGAAAATAAAGCCTTCAATATGCTTGCAATTTAAAACAACAGCTTCACAAGTCAAAATGTAATGTTGATTCAGTCCAAATAGACAAATTAGCATCTTATTTACATCTATTGCAGCAACGGAATGCCGTTAAAGTCACCACAACATCATTAATCTAAACAACCCATTCAATTTTCAGGAATTATATGAGCAAACAGTTCTGTTGTGTGCTAATCAGTCCTGTATGGTTTTGGCAGAGCTGAGTAAATAGCTAACGTCCATGAAGGCGACAGGCAGTAATTTTTCAGAAATAAAGTCTCAAGGGAGGAAGGCGAAGTCAGCTGTTGATTAACCGTCTTGGTAATGTGCCCAATAACATGTCTGCTCTGATTTGAACCTTTTAATTGTAAAGCCATTGACTTGGCCCCTTGCCTCCCTTACAGATGAATGTAAAGATGTCTCTTTTCTGTGTTGTCACGAGAGGCCAGACAGGAGACACAATCACACAAGGGAGACACAAGCACACATGGCTTGCTTCCATAAATCTGTGGCTTTGTTGTGTTTTTATGAGCGCAACACCTGCTTGTATCCAGAAGGTGGTGCAGTAGTGCAAAATAAGAAAATGTTTTACCTGAGCTATGAAGCAGCAAGAAGACAAAGCTAAATCAGTCTAACCCTAATTTGGAGGAATTTTCCACAAGCTCACAGTATAATATGCTTACTATCAGTCTAGCTTTAGATATTGACTGGGTGCGTGTGTTGGACTTGAATGTGTGCTGGCTGATGAAAGAGAGCTCAAGTTCAACAAGGTAGATTGGAAGAGAATGGGATACGCAGGTTGTTCCAGAGTTCACATGTGTAAAAGTGAAACGCAAATCCGAGATTGAGAACTATATAGGTGCTATCAAAGAAAAGCAAATTCAATTTCACAAGAAACAGAAAAGTATGTGTGGTTTCCATGCCAAAATATCTCGCAAAGTGTCAATCACCGCACTTGTAACTTCACACAGGCTTAGCTGTTTGACCCATTGTTCTGTGCTATTCTGGAAACACATGTGGACGGATGTGGAAAGATTGTTTTTGTTCAGGATCTAACTCAAGAAACCGAAAGAAAATACAAACATTTGAATCATTAAGGTTGTTATTATAATAATTCAGCAAGTATGCATTCATTCATTCATTCATTTTCTTGTCGGTTTAGTCCCTTTATTAGTCTGGGGTCGCCCCAGCGGAATGAACCGCCAACTTATCCAGCAGGTTTTTACGCAGCGGATGCCCTTCCAGCCGCAAACCATCTCTGGGAAACAAGTATGCATTAAATTGATTATTATTTCCATCTCAAATAATTGCAGCTCTTATTATTAAAGAGTCCCTATTATGGGTTTTTGACAATGATCTTACATGCAGTGTGTAACACAGCTCTAAGTGAAGTGAAATATCCCGCTAAGGCTTAAATCTGAAAAGTGCTCCATGTTTAAAACTATTGATTCATCTATAAAAGTCTTTAGCCGTGTTGCTGTGACATCGACACAGAACTCAAGCCCCGCCCATTTGTTGTGCGCACAGACTATACCTGGCAACCCTCCCATTTTTCCCGGGATTCTCCCGTATTTTACTGTTCTATCCCGCTATCATCCCGTTAAGGTATTTTTCCGTATTTCTCTCGTATTTTTCAGTCTTTCTTGGTTTTATGTATATTTTACATGCTTTTTTATTTGATTTTATGTACAGCACTTTGGTAATCCATTGTGATTTGTGAAAGTGCTATAGAAATAAAGTGAGTTGAGTTGAGTTTCTCTGAACAGCCGAGCCTCCCTATACGCAACCCATACCACCAAACCACAAGGGGTCACCCCTTGCTCTAAAACGTGAGTCTTCTGTGCTTTCGCTTTGTTTAGGAATGAAAACACTTATAAATATTAAAAACGGCGCGATTCCATTACCTTTTGATTACAGGTGCTGTGGCCCATCTTATACGATCCCCAAAACAATCATATAATGGTGCTTTAGCATCAGCTGACATGCTCCATAATGATAAACAGATGCTGTTTCCCAAACGGATTCTGTACACGCAAATTTGAAGCGGAGAGAAAGTCTGGCTTTTGGGTGCGTGTTTAAACAGACATATACATATAATTAATAATAAAACCATATAAGGATTTCGATCTTGGTGGGCTTTTTTTTCCCCAAACACAACTAATTTAGTGTTAAATGAGCATAAAAAGTTAGGAAAGCAGTTAAATACTTTCATTATATCGTTAGATGTGTGCATTTTTAAAGTGACACCTCTTATTTAATGTAATAAAAAAATCTTAATAAATTAGAGAGTCATTCGTTGCTCTTTAATCAGAATGTGTACGTTATACAGTGGAGAAACGGTTAATTAGATTTGATAGCTTGATTCTATTTCATTATAACAGCTATTAATTTTAATAAGCTTTGCTAATGTATTTGCTGCTAACGTATATATTTATTTTTCTTTTGTTAATAATAATTTTAAAGCATATTACTAACCATTTAACTGTTTATTTACAATAAATAAGCTGCAAATGAACCTATTTAGTAATTTGGGGTTTTTTTTAAGGGGGGGGGGGGGTGTTGGGGGAATCCCTTATTATGGTAGGCATATGCCTTATTTTCACATCTCAATGTTGACAGGTATGACACAGACCCGGAAAAAAAAATTAACCCACCGGCTCTGCCCACAAACACTGTAGAAAGAAAAAGAGTAAGACAAACACTGTAGCGGATTCTGGTTGAATCATGTCGCGAAGAAGCTGAAGTGTGAGAGAAAGTGTTATTTTCAAAGACGAGGCTGTGAAGAGTCAGTGGTCGAAGTTTATTTTTGCAAAAATATCTCAGCATTATAGCCCCAACCTTGTGCTGTGTTCCTGTCATTTTTCTGGCGAGTGCTACAGCAATCTACAACAGGGGATTCGACAGCAGTTTGTTAAAGAAAGGATCAGAAAAGACTATTGATGTATGGGACTTTGCTTGACAGGAACTTTACAGTACACAGTTAATGGATCAGTTCCTTCCTTCATTTCACAAGTGTAAGTGTGATTTATGTATTTAATTAAATGTATTTAATTGTGTTTTGTTACTTGTAACCGCTTGTACTGTATCTTGTATTGCATATTAACTCTTTATATTCTCATATGCCGTCTGAAACCCTGTTGAAAGCGTGACGTGTGTCGCTTTCTTTACGGATTTAAATGCGTTTGTGAGCTTGTGGTCCTCTGCAGTTTGTCGTTGCTTTGGCCACCATCAGCTGTTCCTACACACGTGCAGCAGTCACGTTTCAAAATAGTTTAGCTTTTGCCCGTGTAGATTTATACTGAATGCGTGTCACTGTTTTTACTAATGATTAAGAATAGAGCAATATGCTGGTTAAAATGCACTCCTGCATTGGGCTCACACATACACTCGGACTACTTCAAAATTGTTTATCAACCGTGGTGGGCATTTCTCTCTGTCTCATGCTAAATGCAGTCCACCAATCAGTCCACCAACAGACTGGGACTTCGCGCCAATCAGAGTAGATTAGGATCGTGCTAAGGAGGGGTTTGGGAACAAATGAATCGCTGGACGAATCAAATGGGAGTCGTTGGGATAATTAGGTGAAAATAAATGCATAATATAAGACAATGAAGGTGTTTTTTGACCTTCCATGCATATCAGCCTGTTGTTGGAGACCCCCTAAACCAAAATATGACCTTTTTAATGCCTAATAGGGGCTTTTTAATCAGACAATCCTGAACTCTGTTGAGTTTCCTTCTTCTTCTGTTGAACACAAAAGGGGATATTTTGAAGAATATTGGAAGCCAGCCTTGACTTTCATAGTATTGAATGTCAGTCTATAAACATCAGTCTGCCAGTGTCAAACATTATTAGAAATCTATTTTTTTGTCTTCAACAGAAAACAAATAAGCTCAAAAATTGTTTGGTACAAGTGGAGGGTAAACTGTGATTTCATTTGAATTTTATTTTGTAGAAATATTATTTTTATATAACTGTTTTTATCAAGGGCTGTCGCAGTGGCACAGCGGGTCGCCTCACAACAAGAAGGTCGCTGGTTTGAGCCTCGGCTGGGTCAAATGGCATTTCTGTGTGGAGTTTGCATGTTCTCACCCCGTTTGTGTGGGTTTCTTCTGGGTGCTCCGGTTTCCCCCATAAGTACAAAGACATGCAAGTGAATTGGGTAAGCTAAATAGTTCGTAGTGTATGGGTGTTTCCCAGTGATGGGTTACAGCTGCATGGGCATCTGCTGCGTAAAACATCACATAAAATCATTCCACTGTGGCGACCCCAGACTAATAAAGGGACTTAGCCGGAAAGAAGATGAATGTTTTTATCACGTATTGTTTTAAGATTCAGAATGATTTCTAAAGGATCATGGACATTGATGACTTGAGTAATATTTAAAAAAATAGCAACTTTGTAACAAATAAAGCATAGTATATTTAATGTAGGGTATTTTGTGCTTCTCTTAGCATTACCGTAAGCCTGGACTACTATCTTAATTCAATCTTTCATTACCTCAGGGGTAATGCACTCAAAGACTTTAGAGTTAAGCACATTGCTCAAGGGAAGACAGTAAAACCACAAACAGATGCTGTTATCAGCAACCCCTCTACTTTGTCTAAATCCTCCAGTGGTCCACTGATGTTTAAACTGGTAACCCAACCAATAAAGGTGCCGTTTCTTTGGCTAAATCAAAACTAGGGCTGGTCGATTAATTAAAAAGTAATTGAAATCGACATCCATAATCAATCTAATTTTTCCAGGTCAATTTTTTTAATTAATTTTCCAACCACGTGTGGAGTCACGTCACCCTACTCTGTTAAGGCTAAATTATACTTTCATTCATTCATCACTTAGTCCCTTTATTAACCAAGGCTCGCCACAGCTAAATGAACCGGCAACTTATCCAACATATGTTTTGTACAGCCGATGCCCTTCCAGCCACATCCCAACACTGGGAAACACCTATACACATTAGCTGTGTCTCATTTCAAAGGTTGCATCCTCCGAAGGACAACTCACAACTGACCCAACCTTCTTGCTGTGAGATAATCATGCTACCCACTGCACCACTGCGACACCCTCTTATTATTATTATTATGATATTATACTCCTGCCAAGGGCATGAGTACAGTCCAGAGCAGCCTTTGCATACCCGTGCACCTCTCAAAAAAGTTTACTTACACGTCACAACAAAGCAAAGCGCAAGCTTTGGGTGGTGCAGAGAGCTGCGCTTTAGGCAATGTGTGTTTTAATTTCAGTCGTTCAGCGTTGGTGTCAATAAATAAACATAGATAGTAAAATTAAGTAATTAATCCACCCTACATTCAAAAATCTAACACTTGTAATATGCAAGCAAATTTACTATACAAAACTTGTCAGTGAACTGTTACAAAATAAATCCCATAAAACACATAAAATAAATCAAGAAAATAATCGTTCATTAATCGTAATCAAGTTAAAATGTTCAATTAATCGAGATTTTGATTTTAGGAAAAAAACGTGTAGCCCTAATCAAAACCCTATTGCTTTTGGAATCTGAAATCACACTGACAGAAGCTTTTAGATGCACTTACACCCTCTTTAGAATTCGAAGTGGGGAAGTCTAGTACATTTTGAGTCTGATTAAATCTGGGAAAAGATTCTCTGTGTTGGGATTATGTAATTGGTTGACCCAGAAGTGATGAGTGACCTGTTGAGCATGTTAATTATCTAAGCCACTTAGAGCAGATTCTTACCATGGGGCCTTCTGGTCCACTTGGGCCTGCTTCACCACGATCACCCTGAGAGATAAGGATGAAATTAGTCAGAAAACAAAGATAAAAAGGAAACAAATGGTTGGGCTTTCACCAAATGAATTGTGTTCTCCCTAATCCACTAATATTTTATCTGTGCTTTAGCATAATTTGTGCCAAGTTTTTTTCTCCCATCTTCATTGAGAATGTTGATTGATTAGCCTCACATTCAGGGCTCTGTCTTGTAGCTTAGTGGTTTTCAATCATTCTTCTGAATGATTCATTTATATGTCATTCCCTTACAGTTCTGCTTAATTCCTTGAGGTTCCTCTGAGAAGATGGATCAGTTTCTAACTGTTTTGTTTAAGCAATCATCAGCAGTGCCAAATTTCTAGCACTAAAATGTGGTTTTTGAAAAATAGCTCTTCAGATAACAGAAACACTAGCCCCTTTCACACAGTGACACCAGTAATTATCCGGAAAACGTGGTTCACACAGGCACGGATTTTACAGAATTTTTTTGGAAAAGACCAGCCACACATTTATTCCAAAATACCGGTAAATTCTGACATCATTAACCAGAAATGGCCTTCAAACAGCTGCGCTTGTATTTGTAAACATTTGAGTACATTACAAACTCTGTGGAGTATTGTGAACAACTTCGATGAAAACATATGGAGGAACACTTTTGCATGTCGAGATGTACATGTGCTGGCCCTCACCGGCTGATTCACGTGCATCAGAGCTCGAAGGTAAACAAACAACGGTTTATCATAAGCGTTTTATTGATCATTTTTACACACTTGGCATTAAGAAGGAACATAGAAACCTTATCTAACTAACAGCTAGCAGCTAACTTTGACTGGAAAAAAAATTCAAAGGCATTTATTTTCGTTAACACTGAATGTTTTGATTGGCTAAAGTAGACGTCTCACGTCAGCGCGTTCTAGACATGAACGCCCTCTTTCCAGCAATCTGCCTTCTGCGTTCACACAGCACAGCATTCTGGTAAATTACCGGTAATGTTAAAACTTCTCTTTCCGGAAAATAGCCGGAAGGAATTTACCGGTATTTTCAAAAAGGGCCTGTTCACACATGCATACCTTTCCGGAAAATTGCCAGTAATTTTCCGGAAAGGTCTATGGGCCCTATCATACACCCGGCGCAATGTGGCGCAAGGCGCAATACTTGTTTGGTAGTTTCAGCTTGGCGCAAGAGTCGTTTTGAGGCGTTGAGCTACGCTGTTTAAATAGCAAATGCATTAGCGCTCATATGTGCGTCCATAGGTGTTCTGGTCTAAAAAGGAAGGCGTTCTGAGGTGGACCGCTGGCGCGTCGCTATTTTGAGAAACTATAATAGATTTTTCATTAGACCAAAACAAACCCGGTCTAAACTCAGGCGCAGAGTTGCGCCTCGCTTACACACTGCTTAATACGCACAAGAGAGCAATAGGCAAATATCTTTACATATGAAAAAATTTCAATATTAAGGATATATATAGAATATAATAAGAATAGATATTGGATATAAATATAAAGGATTAAAATATTACAAAACATACTATTTTCTAGCCTACATAAATATGAAAAATCACTGCTTTTATGTCTTCTTCATCTCAGGAGGCTTTTTCAGTTCATTCATAACAATTAGCTTTTGTATAATGTTATTATTATTAGCAGTATTATTTATTATATCCATATTTATATTTGTTTTATTAAAAACAAACTTAGATTTGCCCACCTGTCAGGTTTTAGACCATAAGGGGCACAGCATGTGTTTTAGGATATAACTCAGGTTTTTGAACACACTTCGTTATTATTGTTCATTTATTTGTTTGCTGGAAATTAGAACTGAATTTAGAAATAGTTTTCAAACGAATATTTGCGCTTAACAAACGAAATTATTTATTTATAGACTAATTGATGTTTTTGCGTAAAGGTTTCCCTATCCAAGAGCGAAATTAGATCCATTATCTCTCATTCTCACGCAGTAGATGCTCTGTTTAACAGTTTTCTGTAAAAAAAAAACTGTTAACTGTTTGCTAGTGAAATGCTCAGTTTTTCCACTTAGACTTACTTTGCGTCCTGTAAATAGCGAATGCGCTCTTGGCGCGACGCAGCTGACTCTTAAAGGGAATGGGAGATGAGACTCTAATTGGTTTATTCTTAAAACACACCTATAACTCATTAAGAAAATAAACTCAACCCTTTTAGACCATGCGCCATGGTGCAAAGCAGATTTTTCCGTCCTTAAATTAGCAAAAATGCGTTCTGACACACCCTGAAAGCGTTTGCGCCCTGCGTTTTGCGCTCTGTGCATGGACCGTCAAAATACAGCCCTAAATGTGTGAAAGGGGCTAATATAAGTCTACTTATGAACTATGATGGACACACTCACCTTTTGTCCAGGTACGCCAGGTTCACCCTATAAAAAGGAGGAAGAAAATAAATCAAATGGCCTTGATACTATTCAAGACCTATTTTTTGCTCTGTGGCTTTTATGGATAAGTGATTTATTCGTTTCTTATAATCTGAACTATCTGCTGTAAAACGGGCGATGACCAGAGTTGTATTCCTTTATTAGGAACATCATGTCCAAAGGATTAAGCCTTCAGCCACAGCTGTTATATAGACTGGCAAACAAGTCCTCATATAAGGGACTAGAGCTTCCAAATTGAGTACAATTAAAATTCCCCAGTCTAAACTCAGTGGCAATTAACGCATCAGGGGAAATACATTCTTATCCAAAAGCAACACGGATAATCAATTATGGCGTATCCACCCCTTCTGTACTGGCAAAGACGGAGCAGACCCACCCTGTAGGCTGCTGAACTGTGTGTGAACTTAATGTGAGCCTGTTTATGAGTCGCCTGTGGAAAATACTATCAGTGCAGAGCAGTCGGACAGCTGTGTGGTTTTCAAGCTTACCTTCAGCCCTGGTAGCATCTATAGATGAAAGAAAAAGACATGCGTAAATTGCTTTAGTTGACATTTGGATCCTTAAGGAATCATCATTTCACTTATAGACTCATAGTATGAGTATCTGCTTTAAGTTCAAATAAATATACATTCAAACACTCACCTTTGGGTCTTTTCCAGGTTTTCCAGGTTCTCCAGGTTTCCCCTATGACAAAAACGAATAGGTAGATAAGCCAGCACCAGGACATGGAGGCTATGGTGCGCTGTTTTTGCACATTTCATTGTTTACGAATAGATTACATCCAAAAGAACACGAGTAATATTGACAAACTATACATCAGTCTAAAGCTTCAGCCCTCAAGCAGCCATTACAGTTAGATGTTTTTCAATGGGAAGCTTATAAAGAATGTATTTGCTAAATTTGTGTGAGTTGTACAGAAAACGCTTATTAGATATGGAGTACATATCTTCGTAATAACAAGACACACACGCATTCATTGCTGTACATTATGGTATATTCTGAAAGGAGTCCATAGAACAACATCCTATCAAACACATTTAGTCCACTGACACAATAGTGTTGATTTATGGATGATTATATAATTGTTTGTCACCGTTTCTGCCGAAGACTTGTTACATTGTTTAGCATGTTACTTACATGTGAAAACGGTATCTTTATAGTAAAAAGTCTATGTTATAGCTTACAGTGCTACAAATCAATTGAGACCACAGACTGAATTAAAAGTCAAAGTTATAGTTACTAAAATCTAAATAAAGCAGTCCAGTGTTTTGACGTTTTGCATAGGCTGTCTGTCACTTACTTCCTAGATCCTAGTTTGACTGATGGAGAATTTAGCCAATGGCTGCATGATTCTTTGAACATATGGTGAGTCTGTTTATCTATTACACATTGTTAATTTATTGCACTATGAGTGCTGTCACTGGTTCAGTGGGCTGTCAATCATTATGTGACGTGATGCACCTGCATCTCTGCACATAGTAACAGTTCAAGCCATACCTGCCAATACTCCCGTTTTTCTCCTGTATTTCAGACCCATCTTCCGCTACCCTCCCATTTTGTTATTTCTCCTGGAAAACTCTCATAATTTCAACGTCCCCCTCCCCCCGGTCCTCAGCATTTTGGTACAGTCAGTGTAACCCCTGGGTCCCCAACATTTATATAGGATCCCATCACAGCGGCTGCCCGAAAAACGCTTCATAGTACAGTTACTAACACCACACAGTGCTATTCAGACTCCTGAACCGCCCTGGTGTCCTAAATTTTCAGGGATAAATTTTGGCAAATATGGTTCCAGCTAACGGCAAAATGGCTGGTTTGCAAAAAGGAAACTAAGAAAATAGCAAAAAAGTGTGCAAAAAATAACAACAAAAAGTTCAAATGAGCCAAAACTGTCACTATTAGATAAGACATAAAAGAATGAATGAATGAATGAATGAATCAATCAATCAATCAATCAATCAATCAATGAATAAATGAATGAATGAATGAATGAATGAATAAATGAATGAATCAATGAATGAATGAATGAATGAATGAATGAATGAATGAATGAATGAATGAATGAATGAATGAATGAATGAATCAATCAATCAATCAATCAATCAATATTTCATTTTAAATTATCATAAATTACTTTATAACATAAGAAAGAAACTGCTAAATGAAATGAGCTGTTATAGAATGACCCGTATAATGTTTACAGTTTTACAGTATAATAGTATTTATTATCCCCAATGAAATACATCAATAAAAAAATCTAAACTAATTATTTCATAAAGCCATGTAATATATTTGAAAAACAAAGAGCTTGTGGGGAATCATTTTCTAATGCAGAAGATTTCGACTTACCGGAGGCCCAATAGCACCAGTTAGGCCAAGAGGCCCAGGTGGGCCTGGGGGGCCAGGAGGTCCCGGTGGTCCTTGTGCTCCAGGCTCACCCTGCTGAGAGTCAGGAAGTTAGCATCTGAGATAAAGATAAAGAATCCATTTGGATGTAAGGTGCATTTCTAAACATCAAGGCTGGATCCACTCTGATTCAAACTCCCCCCCCCCAAAAAAAAAATGCGTTTGGAGATGAATTATCTACTCAAATTCCTTTATATAACGTATTTAGAACTATTGTAAATATCTACAATGTACTGTCTTTCCAAATAGACAATGGAATTTGAAGCTGAGAGGAACCCGAGCCTTAAGGTTGAGTTGAGAGTCAAAGATCAGGATGTGATGATAGTTTGTGTTATCCTATCACATAAAGTACCATGCTTGGAGGAAAATGGGAAAACATTTGGAAACATTTGGAAACTTAGATAACATAGGTGATCATCTCATGGCCTGTATTAAAACAAGAGGAGACCTTCACTGACCAAAGAGACTAAACAAAATCATCCACAGGAAAGCGGCCAGTATTTACACAGCAAGAGTCATGCGAAAATAGGAAATAAGGCTGGACTAAATAATATCCTGCTAATCCTGAGAAGAGAACCATCAGGAGATTTCTGCTGTGTAATTAATTTTTAAACAGTCTGTTTTCAACATTAAAGAGGCTTAGTCTGCACACTGAGAATTTGGTGTGTGTTAGAATAATAACTTCTGCTCCGTTACCAGCCTTTATTCCACTATAGACCAAAAATTAAGACCTCCTACATGCTGGCAAGCGGATAAAGACTGATTAACCACAAATTGAGCAGATACCGTGACAAAGAAAAACGTTTCTGTTACAATGTCTCTGTTCAGTAGCAAAGTCTGAAACCCAGAGAAAATCCGGAACACATTCATTAGTTTCAGATCCATATTTTATCCATTTATTTCTTGACAGGATATGTCTAGATTTGATTTATGAGGCCAGATGTAGATCCATTAAATGGAGACATTCCATGATCTCTATCCAATGCGCAGACCCGACCCAGCCAATCAAATGCAAACTGTGTTCTCTAATTCTGAAACTGTCTGGACCATTGTCTCCAAACATGGTACTCTAAATCGGTGCACACATTTACACCTGTAGAAATAAGATGGAGGACGGGTGCCAACCGTGGTCAACCTGTGCCAAAGGCATATCCTGATTGGGGCAGATTATGGCAAGCCGTCTTGACATTTAATCTACAACCCATACTGGTATCTATTGTCATGTTACTAGTATTTATTTTTTGGATACTAGTATATTTTCCATTTAATACTAGTACTTATTTAGTAGATAATAGTGAGATACTAGTTTTGACTAGTATGAATTGCAGCTGGAACTTATTTATGCACTTGTAGTTAATCATTATGTACTTTTAATTAGATACTACCTAATTAATAGATACTATTGCGTATGAATTAGATACTAGCACTTATTCATTAGGTAGTAGTATGAACGCCCCATTTACACGGGGCGTCAGCGTCACATCAGGCGTAATTTCATTGGCTGATGCTGCTATGACAATCGCGTCAGCCCCAGCTTCAGACACGCCCTCTGTCAAGCGTTGACGCTGAAGCCCCGTGTGAATGGGGCGATATTCATTAGATAACCCTGGTTATTCACTATTATCTAATAAATAAGAAATATATAATGAATACTAGTACCTATTAATAATTACTAGTACCTATTAAATAGATACTAATGTATAATGACTAAGTACTAGTATCTAATACATTAGTACTAGTATCCATTTAATAGGTACTAGTATCTAATGAATGAGTACTAGTATCTGATAAATAAATGACTAGTCTCTAATGAGTAAGCACTAGTATATTTTTAAAAAGCACTAGTATCTAATGAATAAGCACTACTATCTAATTATTAAGCACTATCTAATGATTAAGCACTAGTATCTAATTATTAAGCACTAGTATCTAATGAATAAGTACTAATATCTGATGAATAAGCACTAGTATCTAATGAATAAGTACTAATATCTAATGAACAAATACTAGTACTTAATGCAAAAGAAACTAGTATCTAAAAAATAAGTACCGGTAACATGAAAATAAATACTAGAACTGGTTATAGATTAAATGTCAAAATGACTTTCCATAGCAGATACCCTTTAAAAAAGATAAATTAAAGAGTGTAATCTCTCTTTATGGAAGACTCACTCTGTCAACAAAGCTTTTTTGACTCTCATTGTGTGGATTGGAAAATATATATATATATTTTTAACCATGCTCTCGGGATTTCCCTTAGACTGACAAACACATACATTATTACAGTCAATTAATAAACAATAAGAAATGACTTATTGTAAAGTATTTCCTCATCTTAATGGACAAAAGACCAGCTGACAAGCTGAAAGCAAGTTTTTTTTTTTTTTTTTTTTTGTCTGCTAAGAAACACTCTCAGTTATGATTATATATGTTTACATTAATGGAAGTTTTTAATTCGTAAATAAAACAATACTTCAGAGGATTAATTAATCTTGGCTTTTTTTTTTATTACGCAGATACCCACAAGAAACTAATACCAAACCTAACCTAATTGCTAATTTAAATATATTACATTATATTATATTATATTATATTATATTATATTATATTATATTATATTATATTATATTATATTATATTATATTATATTATATTATTAAAATAAGTATTTAATTGGTTTAAATACTACTTGTTTATTAATAATATTATCTAGGTATAAGTTACTTGATACTATTTATGTATTTACACTGTAACCAGGAATCATTAAGATGCATATGAATAAACAAAATACTATTGTAAATGAGTGTTTAACTCAGCTGACAGACATTGACAAAACTCCAATTCTGACTTAACATATAAAAGAATATTAACTAGGCAAGAGATATTCTGATTCTATTTAGATGACTTTCGGTCAGCTCAAAAATACCAGAACGATCACTAAATTTTCCCAACGTTATCACAGGACTAGGCTTACTGTACAAGGACAATCCATTATGTATTAGAATGTTTTATTGAGATAACGTGGAGTTAAAACAGATGGACAACGTCTAGAAAGCCAGCAAGGGCTTGACAGAATTCTAGCTGTGGGGTAGATTTTATAGGCCTATAAATTTTGTGAATTGGACATTATTTTGGAACAAAAGTGTATTTCAAGTAGACTATATCATACAGCACCAAGGCAATAAAAGTACTGTCTATGATTATTTAAATCTGACTATTTGTCTAGAACATAATCACTATCAATGTCTTCAACTTTTCAGACTAACAGGCAGTCGGTGGACAAAGGTTGGCATCCATATAGGGAAAGGGTGAGAGGGTGGCAGAGAGAGATGTACCTTGAGGTGCTTTAGGATTAGAGGGCTTATTGAGGGCATTTTGCGAACGGTGAAGGGCAGCATCTGCTGAGGTCACAAAGCACGAAAACCACCAGGCCAACAAGTTCACCGGGAGGCCAAAGATAGGAAAAGAGGGGAAAGGAAAAAAAAAACAGAAAAACAAGTGAAAACGAGAGAGAGAGAGAGAAAATCAAGGCAAGGGAGAGAAAGAGAGATGAAGAAGAAGAAGGTCAGATGAAGGCAAAAGAACTCAGCATCACTTAATAGAGTCAAGGGCCATCAAAATGGAGTACTGTAGGTTTCAAAATGACTGCTGAATTTAACAAAAGTTATAATATAATGATGACTTTCAGTTTCAGTACAACCTATGTCATGCTTTTGAATTAATTCTGATCATCAGTATTGATTATTAGAACATTTATATATCAAACATCATCATTATAAATGATAATGTTTCTATCTCAACCTCCACTGTGACGGCACCTTTGACTTTTCCGCAATGCTGTGCAGATCAGGCTTGATTCAGTCTTGCCACAAAGAGAGTTTCGCAACAGACTTACTGTGGCCTGTCCTCCAGCTGAGGCGTTGACAATACGGCGTTTCTGTTGAGATCAGCAGCATTGCAAAGTACAGATTGTAGGGTTATTGACCCGCAGATATACCATTCATTATTCACATTACCCCTATTACAACTTGCCTTCTTGGGAGTTGTTTGTAATTCATTTCAATGGATTACAGTTAAAGTTTTAATGAAAATTGATTTAATGTATTTAACTGACTGCATACATATATACTAATATTTGTATGTTTCTTTAATCAAGACTGCATTTATTTGACAAAACAGATTTGGTATGTTGTCAAATTATTTTATTTAGTTTAAATATTTCTTCGTATTGTGAAATTTTTAAACAGCTGCTGCTAAAAACTAACAATGTTCAGGAGTGCGTTTCCCAAACAACGTTACTCGCGGATGAACTATCGATGAACATCTATGATGTGGTGACGAGTGTTTCACAAAACCTGTAGTTTCTCTGTTGCAGATCCATCATTTGAACCACGTCAGTTATAGGGTAAAACGCCCGTAATGATGCTCTAAACGGGGTGGAGTAACTACTTCTTTAGTGAAGAACCACATAATTTCTTTGTGCAAAGTATATTGTTTTACATGCACACATATTTAAAATATAACCCAATAATAGTTTTGGTAAAAACATGCACTCGTTTTCCATATTAATTGAAATATATGTAAATGGCACATATAGGGCATTTGTTTCCTTTACAAATATTATTTAGAACACTACATATTCTATTCTAAAACATAAAATCACTTACAAAAGCTAACACGTGTTAATATAAATAAATAAATAAATAGAGGTTATTTATTAAAAAAATTTATTGAAAATTTATTATTTATTAGGAAATACTTTAATAATAATATTAATGATGATGATGATGATGATTATTAAGTAGGATATTGTTTATTTTCTTTTTTTTTCTTTTGAAAAGTCTACTTTTGTAATGTGACACATGCAAACCACTGCATGTTCTAACCAAAAGGCCCATGTCATACAGTTCATATACGTATGCTACGTTTCTTTTGTTTTCACAAGCTTTGGAGATGTAACGCAAATGCTGCTTTTAAATAGTAGGTCACCTAGCTTTCGTCACGAGGCTGTGTTCAAAACGACATCTAAACTAGACTAACACTGAACTCTAAAAATGCTTTGAAAGCAAATTACACCTAAAGAGAGGATTTTTATTGCTTTTATTTTTATTTTTAAATTTAAATGTTAGAATGTTCTAAATGAATAGGACATAGGGGGGATAACTGGGAATAGAACACAACCAGGAACTATGTTTCTAACGCCCCATTCAAACGGGGCGTCAGCGTCAACGCTTCCCATTCACTTCGAATGGGTGACGTCAGGCGTTGCCGAACTGCATTGTGGATCTGTCGGTGCCGCTTCAGAGACGTTGCTCGCTGCAGAAGTTGGGACTAGCTCAACTTTTCAAGCGCCGACGGAAGCGCCAGCCAATCAGATTGGCTGATGCTTCTATGACGATCCCTTCAGCCCCAACTTCAGACACGCCTTTAGTCAAGCGTTGACGCTGAAGCCCTGTGTGAATGGGGCATAACTACAGCTCTAGAGGTGTAGTTGCAAGCGTACAAGTTTGCGACACAGTTTGCGAATGTTCGTTGGAATGATGGATTTGGGAAATGCCAAATCAACAAATTATGTTTGTAACGACGGAACTTGCAACCTTAGTTGGCTAATGATGGTTTTCGGAAACACACTCCAGGTCATTTATTTGTATTTTTGATCAATAGAAGCTAAAAAGTATGATTTGCAACGGATATTCTTTAGAACAGTCTTTACTGTCACTTTTAATCAATTCAATGCATTTATAAATACACTCCAAACTCTTAAGCATTGATGTACAAAACGTATAAACCAATGCGAATATGCTTTTTATGTCTTACTAAATTCCAGAATAATAAAAAATACTAACAAGCAAAGAAGGCAAGTTTTTTTTTTTTAGGTGTCCTTATGTGAAAGTTTTTCACCAGATTAACAAGAATGCTGCATTATGTTAAGGTACTTTGTGCAAAATGAGGCCAATCAAAATACAAAAGACACATGGTATTTATCGATTTAACATATTCAGAATACATTTGGATGCATTTTACTATCATATAACATTAAAGTTGCATAGCGTACCTTAAAAATATTATACCACAACCGTAAAAGTTCATTGAGAAGGCCAAAGAGAAAGCAGGAAAACAGCTGTGTTAAAATGTGTGATTATAAATTCACACCGTGTGTTCAATCAGTTATAATAACAGGCACCTCTCTGCACCTCCAACAGAGCACAGTTATGTCTCTCTTTGCAGCAGGACTGTAACACACACATCACGGTATTAGGGATGAGGGACGGGGGAACAACCAACAAACCTTCAACATCAGAGCCTGACTGGAGCGCAAAGCTGCCAGCGTTTTCATTTGGAGACCCTGGTTAAAATGGCCCGAAATACAAATACACATGGATACATGAACATACAGATATTCATGAGATATAACTCCCAATTTGTTCCATCATTGCAGGGTATACTGTATCCATTCAGTCTAGCAGATTAGCCTTTATTTTTACCCTTTAACTGTAAAACGTGATTAGTTGACTTTTCTCTAAAGAAACACTCCACTATTTGTGGAAATAGGCAAATTTTGCAAGTCACCTAGAGTTAAGCACTTGCGTTTTACCATTTTTGAATTCATTTAGCTGATCTCCGGGTTTGGTGGGATAACTTTTAGCTTAGCTTAGCATAAATCATTGAATTGGATTGGACCAATAGCATCTTGCTCAAAGATTTAAAAATAGTTTTGATAAGTTTCCTGTTTAATTCTATGCTCTTTGTGTACTAAACTGACAGAATGATAATAATGCTATTTTCTAAGCCAATGCTTTTAGGAACTATACTCTTTTTCCAATGCATAAGCTGCGTCCCAAATGGCACACTATACACTCTTCTTTTATGCACTATTTACTTATGCACTTACAGTACACTCAACAGCATAGTATATGAATGTAGTGTCATCCCAAATAGAGCACTAATGTTTTTTTTTTTACAAAGCAGAAATTTTAACTGTTTCCCAGATGACATTTGTCAGTTACCAAATGTCTAAACTACCAAAAAACCCGCTTGTTAAGTGTGATGTCACATGAAGCTGCTTCCGGCTTTCGGGTCCCGAAATGAGTATTACATATGTCACTGATACATCATGACTTAAAAAGCGGATACCTGCCATGAGTATAACTGTATTCACCATCGGGAGGCAGTATATTCACTCTCACAAGAGTTCAGCCTAGAAAAGGGCAAATTTTCATTTCTGTTTTTCTCAGTACACAATTTTACTACAGAAGAGTTAAGGTTATTGCACATTGAATCCGAAATTTCCGTTTTTTGGATGCGAAATTTCAGTTTTTCGCATCCAAAAAAAATTTTCAGAGGTGTTTTGAAAGTTCAGAGCCACCATACAAGCAAATGGCAAAATACAAAAAGCTGTCACTTGAGCCACAGATATGACAAGCACAGTGCATAATATAAGCCAGAATGTGGCAGACAGTTAAGAACCCATGATGGATTTTGTGAATGGCACACCTCTCCCCTGCTGCTGTTTGGGTTGTGTGTGTGTGTGTGCATGCGTGCGTGTTTGTGTGTGTGTGTCCACACATTTAACGAACAGGGATAATCACCTTATTTTCCGTTCAGTCCGTTGCTCTGCTCTCTAATGTCTATAGATACTTCCATTTCAAAATAGATTAATTAATACGCATCGGACTCAGTGTGCAAGGTTTGTTAACATGACAAATTTTTTGCATATGAAAATTATAAAATTGTTTTCTTCATTTTAAAGTGAGATGCGAATGATCTTACTCAATTATCTATTTTAAGCTAAAAGTGTTCCTCCTGAGATTGGCTAAATGGATTAAAAAAATGATAAAACTAAACCATTTATCTCAAGAGTAGTAAAAAAAAGAAAAAAAAAAAAAAACCTGGAGTGTTCCATTAAAAATAAGGGAGCAAACATGTTGCTTTTAAAGCAGAGTTGCTTTAATGAGTAAACCTGTTTTTAAAATTATTAAGCACATAAATAATGTTCATAATTATAAAAATGTAAAAAAAAAAAACTGTTGTAAGTCACTTTTTAAGTAAAGTAACTAATCACTTTTTACAGTGCAACTGCAAAGAACCCTCAAAAGAACTACCCAAAAGACCACCCTCACATGTAGTTTTCTAAATAGTCAACAGCCTCCCATATGGCCTGGCACGCATGAAAAACACCTCTGTTTTGATGTGATATATGTATGATATACTGATTAAACTTACTTATGCACAATTAAAACCGTGATTAAATACAAAATTGTTGTCCTGTTGCTATTTCTGCTCTTTCTTTTTCGAGCCAAACATATTCCACAGAAATATCTACAGCCAAGACTATTTTCCTGCCGCTGTGTTGCATGTTGTTTTTGAGATTACATAATTGATAAAATAGCTTCAAAAGGCCAAAATTGCTTTTAAGTAGTGCAGGGCTGTTACTGAATCCCCTACACACCACATAAAAAAAAAAATTGGATGTCTTCAACAGAGAGCCATATCAAATCCAATTCAGCAGGCTGTTGGTAAAATTGCTTTGTTTACACCAACTGTGATTTCCCCGGGAGAGATGTGATCAACTCCGAGACCCTGCCTTGGCATTGACTCATGTGCTACCTATCTGAGACTTCATCCAAGCTGTCAATCCAAGCTGTTCCTTTGTTTTTTCCTCCAATTTCAACGTCTCTAATTTAACCGCAAAACATGTTGTTCATGTCTTTTTTAAGAGTAACACAAATCACTTTGACAAATAGAAGAACATCACGTAAACTGGAAAACACATGTTTGTGATTTCTCAGCATTAAAAACCAGAGAACCTCACTCTCACTCACTCACTTTCCTTCAGCATTTTCCCTTTTTTTAATCAGAGGCCTCCACAGCAGAATGAACCTCCAATTACTCTTGCACATTTCACCAGCAGATACCCTTCCTGCCACAACCTGTTAACGTTAACGTTAAGAGTGCACTAAAAGCAGGAGTACACAGTGTGATTTTTGCTGTAGCTTGTATGCAATTATTTTTTTCTTTTGGGAGAATATGTGTGGAAAATGCTCATATGGTTCCAGCTTGTACCGTGAGAAAGGAATTTACAAGCCAAGCCATTTAAGTTAATTTTAAAACAGGTCAGAAAAGTTAAATGAACGAGGTACACTGTAAAAAGCAATAGCTGGTCTCACTAATACAATTAAGTGCAGTTAACTTATTATTATAAATAAGTTTGTTCACCTTACAATATTTAAAGAAGTAATCCCAACTTTTTAGCACATTAAGTTGTAAACTAAATAAATTTGAGTAATCTTGACTTTGTAGTTGTATTTACAACTTTTGAGTGGTCATGTGTCAAAAGCATATTAATGATAAAGAACGGTGATGAGGGAACTGAGGAAGTAGGTGGAAGAATAAAAACTTAAGCATAATCAGACATAAGCATAAGAAATCTGAGAGCTTTTTCAATTAGTTGATGTTTAAAATGTATGTATGATTATATTAAAATATATTAATATTAATACAAATATTTAATAATATTTAGATGGGTACTATATATAATAAATTATATTATAAAATATTTATAAAATAATAATAATAATAATAATAATAATAATAATAATAATACATATTTAAATAATGATAAACAAATAAATATTATTATGTAAATTCATTCCTTCATTTTCTTTTCGGCTTGGTCCCTTTATTAATCAGGGGTTGTTACAGCAGAATGAACCGCCAACTTATCCAGCATATGTTTGACGCAGCGGATGCCCTTCCAGCCACACACCAACACTGGGAAACATCCATACACTCTCATTCCCACACATACGCTAAGTCCGGAGTGTGGGGGAAACCGGAGAAACCGGAGAACCCTGAGGAAACCCTCTCGATCACGGAGAGAACATGCAAACTCCACACAAAAAATGCCAACTGACCAAGCTGGGGCTCGAACCAGCGGCCTTCTTGCTGTAAGGCAATTGTGCTACCCACTGAGACACTCTGCTGCCCCAATTATGTAAATATTATTTTTATTTTTATTATTATTATTAGTACATTAAACGTTGCTTAAAATGACTTGTTATATTAAAGTGTTGAAGTGTTATGTTGTTTTTTTGCAGTATACAGGGATGCTAAATGTTTTACAAGGTCGGTTGTTCATCCTGCATGTCCATTGCATTGTTTTTTATGCTGAGAAAGTAATAAATGTATGTTTAAAGACTGTATAAGGTGATTGCTGGGATGCCTGACTGATTGATTGATGCCTGTTTGACACACTACAATATTAGACAATATTAGACAATAGAAATGTTTTAGTAGTGTACTGTACGTATTGGTTTTTGTCTTTACTTAAATGTTTTAGTTCAGCTTACTTGATCATGTTAGGCAATGAGTTTCCTAATGTTTTACACAGTAAAACCCAACTTTATCAAATGAAATGAGTGTAGTTAACCCAAAATTTGCTAAAAGTTAATTCTACTCATTTGAAAAGAGTTTTGAACTCAGTGTTTAAGGTCACGAGTTAAATAAATACCTCATTACTTCAACTTATATGGAGTAAGTTCACAGTGCTCATTAGGATTAGTTTTTTTAAACTCAAATGGTTTGTAGCAATCGGTTTCCTCAAATGGTTTGAGTTGCCTTAACTTATTGAGTTTTACAGTTCCCAGTTGGTTTGAGTTCTCTTTATTTATTGGGTTTAACTATGCTCACATTGCTTTGTTTACTCAAATGGATTAAGTTCACAGTACTTATTAGGATTAGTTTTTGAACTTAAATAGTTTGTTGGTTTCCTCAAATGGTTTGAGTTACCTTATCTTTTTGGGTTTGGGCAGTATGGTAATGTGAACACTAATAATAAGTTAACAACTAATTATTTTGAGTCAACGGTACTAAAATTTACTTTGAAAGTTGTAGATGCAAACAGTTTTAAGTTATGCTCACTTAAAATTTATAATTTTTAAAAATTAATAAATTTTTCCAAGTAAGGCCAACTTATTACATTTTACAGTGTACAGTATGTGCAGTTCTGTTGATCTATCTGAGGTTGAGCAAATAGGACAAACCAATTAGAGAAACTCACTGAACAGCGAGCGCTGAATGATGTCACATACTGTCTGACAGGGATGCCAAAGATGATTGTTGATAACAGACTATAAGCTTTAGAATTCCAATTAGAATCCTGATTTCCCAGTGTTGAAGAATAACCTGTATGAGTAGTAAACATTCATGTCTCTTATCAATATTATGTTTCTGTAAGAAAATAAGAGAGAGAGAGTGGCTCTAAAAGCAATGATAGTATCGTCTTCCTCTGTTCAAGTTTTTGGTGCGGATTTTTGTTAGATTGCTATTCATAAATATCATCATTCTATATTATCAATATTATATTATATTGCTTCAGAGTCATACAATTGTCGTATACCACTGTGTCCATATGATTTTCACATTAAATCACGAGTGATGTGTGCATAGACATACAATCATCTGACCATCAGAATTCACACTGTGTAAGCCTGCCTTAACATGTGCAACACCCTGTGCTGGGAAACACAAACACACTCTCCCATTCATACACTTTGTCTAGTTCACCCAGACTGCATATCTTTGGACTGTGAGAAAAACAGCATCACCCATAAGGAAACCAACGGGAACATGCACAATCCATACAGAAAAGCCACCTGGTCCAGTCGGGACCACCAAACCACCATGCCACCAGATAAATTTTGAATCATATTTGGTGTACAAGTCAATTAATATTGAAAATGTTCAATTAATATTTGCTCACCCTGTGAGTGTACTCTCCGCATGCACCCTAAAAAGAGAAAAAGAACGAAAAAGAGCGAGAGAAAAAGAGATAGACAGCAATCATGTGGAGTTATCTTGGACCGTTTCATAAACTACAGAACAATTGTTCATAAATTATTTACCTTCTCTCCTTTTGGACCAGGTTCACCCTGAAAAATAAGGTTTGCACAAAACACTGAAAATCCATCCAAAACATAATTCATGCATAGCATTCCACTGCCATGTAAAAAAAACCTCCTGTGACTACATTTTAATGTCAAAGCAAACACTTACTGGTACTCCTTTAGGACCGCGAGGACCCTGAAAAAATAATCACAATTAAAATATAGTCAACTATAGCAAACAGATCAATCATAACAAGCACAAACACACAAACAAATCCTTTATAAATTAAGTTCTTATTCAGACTAGAGACAAAACAGAGTGTTTATTTAAGAAAGAAAGAAAGAAAGAAAGAAAGAAAGAAAGAAAGAAAGAAAGAAAGAAAGAAAGAAAGAAAGATAGATAGAGAAAGAAAGAGAGAAAGAAAGAAAGAAAGTAAAAAAAAGAGAGAGAGAAAGAAAGAAAGACATAATGTAGAAAAGAAAGAAAGAAAGAAAGAAAGCAAGCAAGGAAGGAAGGAAGAAAGGAAGAAAGATAGATAGAGATAGAGAGAAAGAAAGAAAGTAAAAAGAGAGAGAGAATGAAAGAAAGTAAAAAAGAGAGAGAAAGAAAGAAAGACATAAAGAAGAAAAGAAAGAAAGAAAGAAAGGAAGGAAGGAAGGAAGAAAGATAGATAGAGAAAGAGAGAAAGAAAGAAAGTAAAAAGAGAGAGAGAAAAAGAAAGTAAAAGAGAGAGAGAGAGAAAGAAAAGACATAAAGAAGAAAAGAAAGAAAGAAAGAAAGAAAGAAGAGAGAGAGAAAGAAAGAGAAAGAAAGACAGAGAGAAGAAAGGAAAAACAGAAAGAAAGAAAGAAAGAAAGAAAGAAAGAAAGAAAGAAAGAAAGAAAGAAAGAAAGAAAGAAAGAAAGAAAGAAAGAAAGAAAGAAAGAAAAAAATATCTGACTGCGTGTCCCCGCATCCATAAGGACTGTTTGGCGAAATATTTGACGGCATATCAAACGACTGAAACGATATAACTAGAGAAATCTCCACTGTGCTGCTGAGTGAGAGCGTATGGCAAGCCGTTTTAGCATTTAAACCTTTGTTCTGACTATCCATAAATATATTTAGAGATATCTCTAATTATATTTTGACTAGTCATAATTATAATTCGACTAGTCAGAATGACAATTAGAGATATCTGCAATTACAATTGTACTAGTACGAAATCAGATTGTGGATATCTGCAAATATATTATGACTAGTCATATTCCTCCATTGACTTCCATTGAAAAATATTTGCTGATATCTCTAAATGAGTTTAGAGTCTAGCGGAAAAAGTGATAGACAGGTGGTAATTTTTGTGTAACTTATCTTTATCTATTTATGATTTGGTTATGGGTATACAAAGACTATGTGGGTCAAAAAGTTGAAACGGTAGGCTACAAACAATTTATTCCTTATTAATCAATTAATTAATTATCCATAAATAATTAATTCACTGCCGCCTGTGACAACGATGCCATCGTCCATTGCAATGTTTCACATTAGACATTGTACAATGCCAAATTGGTTGACATCGCCCAATCCTGCTTTAGGAATTTGGAAGATTCGTTGTACACTTTTACACAGGGCACCATTAACTGTTTTTGATATTAATAAATATTATATTCATAAAAAAACATGCTCCACAATGCATTAAGTCATCTGAAAACATGTAAAGTAACTTTCACAGCTAGACTGATTCCAAGGAACCATGATATTCTTCCTAAAATGCCAACAAAAATTTTTCAAGTACTACTAAATCTGGATAAAGTCAAATGAGGTGCATAATGAGTCTTGAAGAAACTTGTCAATAAATTATAAAAGATCCAGCTTAGGATGTATTTGCGTACTTTAGGAGCTCAATGCAGTGAATTCAAAAGCTCAGGAGAGGCCATTCATCTCTGATGCAATTTTATAAAGGTGTCTTTTCAGAAAAGCTCTCTTATTTTATAGATTCTAAGCTTGCTTTTTTCACAATGCTATAAAAGAAAGAACATAGGAGTTATACTACTTTTCATAAGGAGCAGTTTAAAGCACATAGCCTTGGAGCATACCGAATCTGCCCATTGTCTTTCATCACATGAAAGAAAGCTCTGACTACATTTTTAAAGCCGTACTTTAGAGGAGAGAGCCAACTCAATGTCCTTGTTTTAATACCACAGGCGGCTAAAGTCATACAGATTTTCACATGAAGTTACTTTTAACAAACCCCACTGAATGAGATGTAGGAAAGCGACCTCTCATCTCACACATACGCACACACACATATGCTGCCGTTCAGTCACTCCACCCATAAATCAAACTACAAGAGTGTTGTTCTTGTGAATTTATATGGCCATGCTTGCAGCCTAGATAAACATCAGTGTAACAAGCCATCTCGAAAACAAATGGCTCTACTGGTGAGTTTTATGGACACTGACAAATTTCTCTTTATGATATGTTTTACTTCTTTACATATTTCTCTCCATGACAAATGTTTTTTTATTCAAACGGTATAACATTAGTGTGTGCATTTAAACTAAAAGTATTTACATTTGGATTTTAACACTTCTATTAATACCAGTCAAGGCTGAAAGGTGTTTTCTTAAAAGCACTGTCAAATAGTGCAAATGAAATAGTGTTTAACAGCTGTAAAACTAGTAGAACTTACCATATCACCTTTTGGACCATTCTGTCCCTGTAAGTTTTCAAAACAATAAATAAATAAATACAGCACAGGTGAAATAGAAAAAATCTTTAGACTTTTGGGTAGCAGAAATGACTTCATTCATTGCACGCATGCCATTATTGGTTTCATGTTGTCATGACTGGTGACAATAGTGAATTTATTACAATAATTGGTATAATCATTGTTACCATAATTATCAAAATGGCCGTCAATTATCCATTACGGCTAAACAATTTGGTAAAAGGGTTCAGAGGTTCCAAACCTGTGTGATTGGTAATTATTAAAACATTTATAAGGAATGAAGAAAAACTCACGGGTTTCCCGTCCAAGCCAATGGGGCCCTGAAGAAAAAAGGGGGAAAACAGCAGATTGGCAACATTGTGACGGCACAAAACAGCTTTAATTCTCTAGACAAGCGCACTGATGTAACAATGTTTATGGACAAAAATAGAGGTATTTCCTTAAAAGTCAGGTCAAGGCTGCCTTGAAGGCACAGGATGTTAACCTAATGTCATATTGACGTTGTACCCCAACATACCCCAACGTCATGGGGACATTGGATTTTGTTTGGAAATGAAAATCAGATTGAAGTCAGAACCCAACAACAGGCCAACATCAAGATCTATTATCCAACCTAAAATCAACCTTAAATCAACCAATTATCAATGCCTAATCATGTTACACCTTGACGTTGTGTGGACATTACCACCATTACATCTATCAGACGTTGGATTTTGGTCACTTTCCAACACAACCTAAAATCAACGAAATATTAACGTAATTTGACATCATTATTGGACATCTAAATAAGGTTGTCCCTAGACGCTGAAGAAGAAAGGAAGAAAAAAGAAAGAAAGAAAGAAAGAAAGAAAGAAAGAAAGAATTGATTGATGTTGTACCCCAACGTCATGAGGACGTTGGATTTTGTTTGGAAATGAAAATCAGGTTGACATCAGAACCCAACATCAGGCCGACGTCAATGTTAAATGTCCAACCTAAAATCAACCTTAAATCAACCAATTATCAACGTCTAATCATGTTACATCTTGACGTGATATAGACATTACCACCATGACATCTATCAGACGTTGGATTTTGGTCACTTTCCAACACAATCTAAAATCAACCAAATATCAACGTAATTTGACGTTTAAATAACGTTGTCCTTAGATGCTGGCTAGACATTGAAATTTGGTCACCTGACGTCATGACCTGAATCTAACCTAATATTAATATCTTACAATGTTGTGTGCCTGCTGGGAAAGGTCAAGTGCAAAAGATTTACTAGAAACACTGAATGTATTACTGAATTCAGTGTTCTCTCTGTGTCCTGTGGATCAGTGCTCACGGCTGGTAATAAACACCTGAAAAGACCCTTTAACATATAGAGCTCAAAGACAGCCCATAGAAAGGGTCTTGGGACATTTATGCACATTGCAGTGCATATACAGTTTCACATCATCCAACTCATAGAATAACAGCTGCACATGTCTACAGTATATTTATTCTCACTTCCTTGAGTCATTTCTTTGTGAATCCTTTAAATTAGGGGCCAGATAACCAGTGGCTAATTGGCGGCTTTTATAAACTCACAAATAAAATCTTTATAAGTTTGTCTGGTTGGTTTCCGACAAAAGTGACTTACCGGAAAGCCTGGAAATCCTCTAGTACCGGGCTGTCCCTGAGGGAAGACAGAAAGAAAAAAAAGAAGAGGAGTTATTTTCTATACGAAAAACATGAGGATTATGTGAACTCGATGAAAGGAGGTCTGTGTTGAGAGACGGAGTATTGTTCCTCCAAACTCAGTTGTGTCGTAATTGAGGTTGAAGGACAGGAGCCTTCCTGCTCTGTAGGAAGCACTTTGTGTGGGATGTGGAGACAAAGACAAATAAAGCTTTAAAAACTGTGGGACACCAACTGAAACTCAACACTGGAAAGAACAAACATTAAAGAGTAGTCCTTATTTAATTTGTTAGCCTTGTCTTATTGGCTCTCACACACTGTATGAGTGAATGTCAGTAATGATTAGTGCTACATTCTCCGGTGAACAATACTAAGTTTGCTTTCCTGAAAAAACGTTTGCTGCCCTTGGGAAAAGAGGAAGTCATTCAATATACTTGGCAAAAAAAAAGGACTGTGTTGGAGCAACCTGAGAGAAAATTACAAGGAAGAGGTGAACTGAGCTAATGAAGGGGATTGTGTGTCTGGGTCTCAGGTAGTTATTGGAACATGGTTGTTTTTTTTTCTGCCTTGGGAACCTAAAGGTCTGAAATTATGGAAGCAGCGGCATGCGCCCCACTCAAATTATTCTGAAACAGGACTGACGACGTTCATTTCGTTGGCATGAAAATGTAATGAAAGCAATTCCAGTCCAAGAATTCTTCCAAACCAAAAATACACTACGGACTTAATACATAGCTTTTTCAGGACTGATATAAAGACAATTTCCTGACTGTAATACATTCATGTCATTAAAACAAGATTAAGTATAATACTTTCAATCATAAACTGAACAGAGACCATTTTTATATGTATACCATGAGTCAAAGATAAAGATTTTTGATAATGAGATTCAGCATCATTTATGAATCTTTACAATCTTGTAAGGGGGAACTACTAAGGGGGAAAAAAACTACTAGGAGAGAAAGCTCACTTTGGATAATTTATATTTTAATGGAAAGTTGCCATGTTAACTTTACACATTAAATAAATAAAATATTTGTTATTAATTGACCTCTATAGACCCTTTGGATAACCCTAATGCTGTGTTCACAACAGACATAGAAGAAGTTTGCGGCGCAAACTGAGCATTTTGCACGTTTGATGCGAATCGCTCAAGTTCAAAAATCTGAACTTAAGCGGACATTCGTGCAGCGTTAACCAATCAGGAGCTTGCGCTTGTGGGGGCGTGATTGTGACGTAGCACCTGTTGTTGGTATCCCGGGGGAAATCCTCCAGCTGACACTGACAACAGTTCATCAAACTGGGCTCGGCTCAGTCAGAAGCACCGCTGAAAGCCTCCATCATCCAGGTTAAGATTCTGGAGGAAATAAGCTCACAGAGTTGGATGCACCTCTGAAAGGATTTAGGGGACTCAGACATGGCCCTAGATGTATCAATGTTGTATTTCAGCCTTCATAAACCACATAAACATTGTTATTTTCTTAATAAAATCCATGTTAGCCATTTAGCAACGAATCTAGAGTCACCGGGCAGAAAGAAGCCCGGCCCATCACGCGAATCTGCGTCTAATCTGAAGTGAATCTGACGTGTGAATGAAGTGGATTTGATGTGCGAATGAAGTGGGGTTTGACACGCGGATGAAGCAAGTAAAATCAAATGTTCACGCGGCTATTTACACGGGAATATCGCAATTTATCTGCACATTCTCCGTCTGGTGTGAACACAGCATTACCCTAACCTGATCAGCCTGGACAATATATAGTTATTGTCCAGGCTGATCAGGTAATGACAACCCATTATGTCATCTACAGATAGCTGTCCTCTCCCTAACTACCCCACTTTGGCATGAAAACTAAACATCTACCTGCATGACTAAAGAAGTAATTTCCGCTGGCTTCTCCACACTTCTGCCTCAAATCAACCTCTTTGACCCCTTTGGAGGTGAGGACAAAGCCTAGTCTTTCAGCTCACCTGCTAAAGACATTCCCTCTGAGGCAGCCCTGCAATGAAACTTCTGCCTGTCACCAGTTCTCTATCCCTGATGTCCACTCCTGACACCTTATTAGAGGTGATGGGTCAGAGGTATAGAGAAGTGTATAATCAGCAAGCGGAAAAACATATGTCTGAACGGTCTGTTGGCTCTGCCATAAGACTACATTGGGATGAATGTGGAAACCACAGACAGTTTTGAACAACATAATCAGCAAGGAAATTGCACCTCTGCTGGCATAACATTAGGCTTTTTACTTACTCGCTGGAATGTGTGGAAAGGAAAAAGGGTGCCAGTTTGGGGACAAGCCCCATTTCGCCTGATGGCTGACCACTCATTAACAGATACAGCCCAATCGGCACGTATAACGTCTGGATTATAATGACAAGGGGTGGGATGTTTTCATTCCTACTTGCTAATGAAGATGAGATTCCAAATGGGTGTCATTATGTGGGAGTCGCAGCCCTAAAATACTCTGATGAAGTGTAAGTGCTTCCATACAAGCTGTAGTGGGATTCTTGTCCTGTTCGTGCATATTAGAGATCAGGTCTTGATTAACAGAGATTCATTGGATTTGGTTCACATACAGTAGTAGTGTTCTGGATAACACTGATCCTGCTTATCTACCCCAAACTATATATTCATCAAGCTCACTTTAGGGAGGTTTGTAAGTCAAGTGCGGAAAGAAAAACAATAGAAGAACCCCTTGCCAGAAACTCTTGGAAAAGATTGAGGCCGAAAGCTGCTAAAATCTGCACCTCTGACCTGTATCTACTCTGGAGATCTGACATTAGGAGGAAATGATGAAGAGTTTTAGCAGTGACAGAGCAAACACTTACAGGAGGTCCTCGTGGGCCAATGATAGACAGACCTGGCTCTCCTGGTGCTCCCTACGGACAGATAGAGAGGTAGAAAGACAGTGAGGAGAAGAACTAGGAAAAAAAGAGATAGAATGATATCCACTAAACTACACCTAGTGTACAAAGCCAAATGTATCAGTGAATATAGTGTATATGGAGAATAGAAAAGCCTTTCTGAAACACCCTGTAACATCTGTTTGACATAACTCTTACGCTAAGCCGCCTCACTGAGAGCGCTTGCATGCGGCTCAGAGGTGAACACAGTATTTTGGTCTGTAAGTAAAATGTCAGCAGACCTTGGTTCTCATTTCAGGGTCGTAGTTTACATCTTGACAGCGAGTTGAGCGGGTCAGAGAGCACTGCTGAGTAAACAACTAACGGCCCGGTGGACTGGTTATCTGGCGCAAACTAGGTGATTTGCACGGTGTTGGCCTGTCCGCAGAGCTGCACCAAACATCCAAGCAGAATCCCGCAACACTCTGTGGTCAGACAGGAAAGCTCTCGGGTTTCCAGCACTTTCCCTAATTAGCTCTCTCATGCGAAACTCTATCAGGAGGACACCTTTGATGACCCAGCCATCCATCAAATTGTGGACAGTTTTTAGTTTTTCTGGTTCAATGCCCACTTCATCGGGGTATTTGTTTTAGTGCTTTATTGAGTCACCTACAATCTGAAAGGGGTGATGTACGAGACTTTTTTGGTTGTGGAAAAGGAAAGAACTCCTAAGCTTTGACCCTAAGGTTTACGGTTACCCACAGAATCGTGCAGAGATCTGTGCAACAGAACAACTGAAGATCTAAAGATATCCCTTTGAACAGGCTTACGTTACAAGGATTTGGCAGCCAGGAATGGGTACTGGACAAAGAGTCCAAATATAATCAGCAAAAGCAGGCGAAATTCTGCTGATATTTAAGGACTGGGCTTACTGACGAATGATATGATCTTCAAAGATTTCATTTCATTCAGCAAGTAATCCTTTCTGTCTCAAAAATACATTGTATCATGTTCTGCAGTTCTTGCAAAGTTCAACCAATCAATCACCAATTCCCCTTATTTTTGTTCAGCTTTGAGCTTTCCAACATAACCAGTTATGATTTGATTCAATTTATTTGCTTGAGCACTGACACACTAAGGCTGCCAGTTTTGAGAGCTAGCGTGCCCAATCATCCTTAGGGGTGTGTTTTGATATCCAGAAAAGTGAAGTTCTTAACCCAAAATTCCTTGGGTCAAGACATATGCTTGCTAGAAGGTACGATAGGCTGCATTTAACATACTGTAAGGGTAAAAAAAAGTAATCCCTTGGAACAATAAGGGAAGCCCACTGTATATTCTGGATGAAAATCTGGTGGGTTTTTCCAAGGTCGTATATTGTCTGCTTCTTTACTTGTCGGCCCAGTGGTCAAAACACTATTTATTTCCCTTCCAAATTCTTCAGAACCCCAGTGAATTGTTGGCAAGTGAGGGTAACCATCCAAAAGCTTCAATATACTTCTGTGATGGTGAAGGATGAGGAACATGTTTCTCCTTACATTGCTTGTTCAGCCTCAGACGTATCATTCCAGCTTGATGAAGGGAGGCCGCAGAACTGCTGGCTTGTACAAACACAGAGATCAGCAGCCAAATGAGACTGGTTAAAGAACTGCTCAAACCACACTTGCCACAACAGGAACTGAAGCTCAGTGCACTAACTCCAGTATAAAGTGCTCAGTCACACCAAGAACTCAAAGACACATCCAGCGACTACACAGGATTTTGGATAGTTTTGGATGTGTCCAGAAGTGGTAGGGTTTCAAAAGCTACTCTATTCCAAAGATCTCTTTATCTAAAGTGGGGAGTCTTAAAACTTCAGAGCACTCCAAGAATAAACACAGGTAATCCAAGCATTGTGGGAAACGTCTTCCCAATGTGACCCCCAAGGTCTTTCAAAATAAAGCCTGAAGCCTTCTTGATATATATCACAGTACCTGCGCACTTTGCATGATGGGCTCGGGTTGTTCTCCCGCACCCCACCCACCGTCATCAACACAGCCACCCACAGTGAGAGAGTGTCAATTCTGCACATGCAGGCTATTATCCTGCACTTACCTTCTCCCCCAGGTTTCCCTTTAAGCCCTGGTCAGTCACAGCAGACACAGTCACATGCACAGTGAGAAGGAGAGAGACAGAGAGAGGAACCAGGGTTAGAGAGGTTCTAAGAGGACACATGCATGCAGCAGCCTGAGACGGAGTGTTTGTAGGTAGGAGGAATGGGACACACTGTTGTACTGGAGCATTTTGGGATGTTGAGGGGTGGAGACTACAAGGGAACGGAAGCATTGAAGTGTTACACTGCTGGCCTGTGGGGAGTAATGGATAGTAGATGAGGGGGCTGCTAACTTTTCTCACAGACAGACTGGTCAGTGGAGGAGGTTGGAGGGGGGTAGGATAAGCCATGAAGGGTGAAAAACGCTTCCTGTGAGAATCTGAAAGAGCACAATGTAGCTTTACACTGGGTGAAATATGGAAAGCTCGGCTTGGGGCTCACAGTTTGAGGTGAACACTGCTGAAACCTGCTTTTAGGTAGGGATTGTTTTTCAAGAGAAAGCATTAGGGTGAGCTAAGAGTATGCAACTATACAAGGGTCAAGAGCCTGGAATGTCTCCTTTGAGGACAATGTAGTTTTATCGGTTTGTTACTGAAAATCTTTAAGGAAGAACTGTTCCTACGCTCTAGAGGGACATCTATACGACTGTGTATTTTGGTCGACCCAGATTTCTGTTGCAACACATCATGCATTGCTCTAATCTGAAAAAAGGGCAATTCCAAATGCACAAATCTTATGAACGACAAGGTAAAGCAGAGCTTACAACTGTCTGTGGTTTTCAAATCTGTTTCTCTCATCTTGAAAACGTACATATTGTCTCTCTGTGGATATATATATATATATATATATACACAACATTTTCTTCCAACATCTCCTTTAGGTTTGGCTGTGATTTTTGCCTTCTCAGCATGTAGACTGTAACTGATAAGAAAAAAAAAGTATATCCTGAGGCCTATGTCTATTTAAAGTTCAACAAGTAAAGCATTTTCACATGACTGAGCAGCCAAGACAAATTGAGTAAAAAGGAGAAGGAGGTTTTCATCAAACACAGAGCCAGTGAACTCTGTGTCTTCAGGCCTTGTTCAAATGGGAAAGGAAAATATTTCAGACTTCTCAGTCAGACATTTTCTTAACCATCAAAAGTGGCGATGAAGTGGAAATCATTTTCTGGCTGAACAAATAAGCTACAGTTCTTGGTTTATATCATACAGTTGTGCTGAAAAGCTGAAACGCTACATTTAAATTTTGGAAGACATTCTTGTGAAACCTTGTGAATGTGTACCTGGATAGCGCAAGCTAAAGCAAGTTAAATGAATGATAGTGTACGTTGAATATAACATACTGTGGTAATTACCAACATAGGCTCATTCTGAAAATGTAGCCCTATATACATTTCTGAAGATTGTGAATTATGTAGCCAGAGCTACATATGGCTGCATTTCATTTTCAAAACAAACGCCATTGGGCGGTATTCCTTGTAGCGCTTATCAGCTGATCGCTTACTTCCGTATGGACGGCTGTCTCGCTGTTACCAATTTGCCCAGTTAGCTCGCCATTTATATCGGCGGACTTGAAACATAGAAATAAGTTAACTACGAGGTACGAGGAACAACTCCAGAAGGCGAGTAAAGGCCGGCTCACACTGTGAGATTTTTTTTGTAATCCTGAACAATTGTCAGACTGCACAAACATAGCTTCCATGTCACATTGTAAGATCTTAGCTGTCATAAAGTCGGACTGAACGGCAATGAAGATGCGCCAAACATGGAAGAAAACTCCCCTGGAGTTTGACGTCATCCACCCGTGACACTTTCACTATCCCATGTTTATTGGCAATTTTGCACACGGTGTGTTTCAATAACAAAACCAGGGGAAAAAAATGGCCATTTCCCCGCGGTCATTTAAATTGTCGCATGAATTGCGTGATCAAATTCGGAGCCCCTATTGGTTCTTGGATTGACACTCATCGCAGAAAAAAGGGGGTGTCTGAAATCTGGAAAGTGTCTGAAACCTTCTGACACTGCCAGAACTTCATTGAAGGAAAAATCTGATCGCAAGGGGCACTAAGCGGCTGTCAGTGAACAAGTCAAACCAACGATCAAAGTTCACCAATTTTAGCCCAGGATTTCAGGAATCTTTTAGGATTTCCCAAATTTGTCTCAGATGACAGAATCGTGGCTGAATCTCACAGTATGAGCAGGGCTTTAGACAACATCACAATAAAAAATAAATAAATGAACAAGTAAATAACAGGGTGATAATGTAGTAAATTCTGAAAATGATCCTTTTTAAAATTGTCGGTTGGGTTTAGCTAAGTGGGTGGTTGGGTGAATTGGGGCTTTTAAAAATACTATTGGTTGGGTTTAGGGAAAGAGAAGCATGGGTCAGTCTATTGACGAGTCAGTCAGTCGGGCAGTCAGTCAACAGCGGCCTCTGGATTTACGTGAGAACAGCATGGGTGAATGACACTTGTGACAGAAATTTGAAGCATACACAGCGGTCTTTGGCGGATCCGCGAAAACAAAAACGGCAAAGAAACATAGCTCCTGGGATGTATTTGGCAGTCTCCAGAAATGTATATAGAGGTACATTTTTAGAATGACCCTGGGTTGGTAACTACACTAACACCCAATTTCTCAAGACTACTGCCATAATGTCATTTACTATAGACTAGAGGCTGGGCTTAGTACATCAAATCACTCACCATTCTTCCAGGAATGCCCAATGATCCTTTGTCTCCCTAGTGGTCAATGCAAAGTCAAAAGGAAAATCAAGAACAATATATCTGACAGAATTTCTGCAGTCTATGGTTACTACTACTACAACTAGTGACTAAATGACATTTAGCCACATGTTCTCATGGTTTAGCTTTGAAGAGTTAGTAAAGTTATGATGCCCTGATTTGACGCTAACTACCAATCATGTCAAAGCTGATGATGCAGGCATGCCAACAACGACTGTGTTCAAAAGCAAGAAGACATTTATTTAAGTATTTGAAAATAAATATATAGTGATGAAACAGCAAGTGTCATCGGTGCTTACAGTGCTCAGCATAATTAAGTAGACCCCATTTTGAAAATGAATATTTTTATCCATTTCTCAGTGGATATAGGCAATGTGTTTTGGTGCATTTAAATAAAACAGATTTATTAAACAGATATAATTATTAAAATAATATTTTAGTCACCAAACATATTTAGAAATTGAAAGATAATACAATTAAATTTAAGCAAAATATTGCAGAATCAAATTACAACGTTCAAAATTCCAACAACATTTTTCAAATTTTTGCTTCTTTCGATTCTTCCTCTTTTTGAAATTTGTATTTAATATTTTTATATAACATATAAATTTGTGTGTACTCAATTTTGGACCGTTCTCGTAAATTAGTTTGTTAGATATGCTCCAGATTTGGCTTCAGTACTAACTAATCTAATGTATATGCACAAATATAATATTGTATATTTTCCTATTAAAAATTTGAATTTAAAAGAGAGATTTGTGAGGGGCGTACTTATATATGCTATGCACTGTACATGATCCCAACAAAAGCATGTGGTTAATGCAGTATACTTTTAGGATTAGGCTCATTTTATAGTGTGTGCTATGATGTTATTTACTAGCTAACTATAACACAGATGATAAAGGGACTTGAAAAGGTAGTTAGGTGACAAAATTGCAACTTGCTTCCTGTTTGAAAAAGATAAAGGTATATTTCACCTAAAAATTTACATTTTGTAATAATTTATTCAATGCTTTGCCAGTCTCTTCCAGCGAAAATAAACTTCCTCTTGAAGTTTTAAAAAGCACACAACAAAATCACACAAAGATCTTATCATGTTTTATGTTTCATGAAAAGTGTTGTGTTTAGAGAAGCACGAGTCCTAAAAGATGGCAGACATTTCATTTTTGGGTGAATTATTTCTTTAACAACTATACATCCTATCAAAATACCTATCCAATTACCACTTGAATATCCTATCACTGATTATTAATTATGGATAAAAAACAAATAGAAAGTGTGTGAATAGTCACTGAAAATCTTTTTATAATTCATAGTCACAAGAATTGACAGCATAGTCTTGAAACTATGCATTTCCATTGCACTGCAACGTTTAAGTCACTTACCACGAGGCTAACCATTCCTACAGCTGTTTGTGTTTGCATTCCTAACACTGCAGGTCAGTGTAATAGAAGGGCTAGCAGCGTTGACAGCTTGCTGACGACTCACTCTAGTCACATGTAATGGAAAGAGAGGGCGGGCGATGGTGCAGGTTGGACCGCAAGAAGTCAACATAACATTTGCTAAAACAAAGAATCTGCTCGTGGACTTTCCTAAGTGTTATGGCTGTTAAGATAAAGATGTGTTCATTTAGTTTGACCTTCAGAGTTAATTCAATGCCTGCTGCCAAATGTCCCAAGAGGAAAGTCACTTGACTGTATTCACTTGGCTCTGTCCAAGGTGCTGATTTGAGCTAAACTTAATACTGCTTTATGACATTAATTAGTTATACTGTGTGCACTGTTTAAGGATAGACAGACAGACAGATAGACTGACTGACTGACTGACTGATTGGCTGACTGATTTATTAATTGATCGATTCATCATACTTGCTTATTTTACTAGCATACTAGTATTTTTATTTTTATTATAAGTGATATTTAATAGAGCAAAGTATTTCCTTTTTTTTCTTCTCTTAAGATAAAAAATCTTATTTCTTTTAGTTTGGCTAGAATAAAAACATTAAAACAACACCGGTCAGATCACACAATTTTTTATTGTCGGTTACAAAAGTCACAATGTCGAATGATGCGATTTTTTTCTCTCGATAAAATCTTGACTTGTCGTATAATGAGACATGCATAGGATCAAACCTATGATTCCTTTTAAATACCCAGCTGAAAAAACCAGCTTAAACCAGCCTAGAAGGTTGGCTGGTTTTTGCCAGTCGACCAGCCTGGTTTTAGAAGGGTTTTGGCCACTTCCAGGCTGGTTTACAGCCATTTCCAGCCTGGTTTTAGCTGGACAGGCTGGGAGATAACCAACTAAAACCAGCTTGACCAGCCTAACTAAGCTGGGAGCCCAGCCAAAACCAGCTATGTCCAGCTTAAACCAGGATGGTCAAGCTGGTTTTGGATGGTTTTAGCTGGTCACTTTCCAGCCTAGAAAAAATGCCAGAGGAAACACTGAGTCCACTATATGCGCCAAAACTTGAATTGCCATGAGATTGTGTTGGTTTGTTAATATAATAATAATCTAGCCTAAAAATATTTAGAGTTCCAGAGAAGCCTCAGAAACTCATTGTTTCTAAGGCAAACTCATTGTTTCTGAGGCAAACTTAGAAACTCATTGTGAGAATGAAGATGTCTGCATGTTTGTGCCAGTCTGTCAGATAAAATTCCTTGAAACACCTTGATATTTTAGAAAAGTTAAAGTTTGCATAACCAATGATTGATCTTATCCAACCGTGACCCACTCATAAGTAAATATGCAGCCTATTTTTTGATTACCTGACCAGCCCATTAACAGCAGCACCCACTGATATAGCTGAGAAATGATGTGCCACATACACTGCAAAAAATGCATTTCTTACTTTTTGTCTTCTTTTGAGTGCAAATATCTAAAAATTCTCAAATTAAGAAGAATTTTCAAGACAAGCAAAACATATAGTCTTGTTTTGACAAATAATATGCTAATATTAAGTGAGCTTTTCCTTAAAACAAGCAAAAAAATCTGACAATGGGGTAAGCAAAATTATCTTATGTCAAAAGGAAAAACAAATACATTTTCCTTACCCCGTTGGCAGATTATTTTGCTTGTTTTAAGGAAAGACTCACTTAATATTGGCATATTATTTCTCAAAGCAAGACTATATGTTTTGGTTGTCTAAAAAAATGCTCCTTGATTTAAGAATTTTTAGATATTTGGACTTGAAACAAGACAAAAAATCTAAATGAGAAAAGCAGTTTTGCAGTGTACATGTCAGAACTCGTCATGAAAAACGAAAGCAAAATTAAACCAGCTAAACTTTCGATGGTGCAGGCATGGTATCGGTTGTCGTGAACTATGCCACATCACACAAGAAGAAAGGATTGAATCTTGTGTCAAGACAAGCATTTGTCGGTTATGAATCCCCACAAGACCCTATGTCAAGTAAATTGTGCCAATATCATGATACATTTGTGTGATCTGACCGGGGCTTAACTTGCCTATTCAACTTAATAACCTAGTTAAGCTAAATTGAACTTTAAGTACACCAGTGTTCAGAAGAGTCAGAGAAATAACAAAACCATTCAATTATACAAGGTATGCAAACTGATTTAAAGTTTAGATAGCAGTCGCTTGATGAATTACACTACAAAGTCCAGACTTATCCAAATGATCCCTAAAGTGCTTAACTCCAAATCAGGCGTATTAAATGGCCATATATACATGTGAATGCGCAGCAAAGCTTAAATATACAAACCTCAAGTATCCCTTAATAGTTCAACAGAGCGTGAATGCCAATATCAATATTTTTTGAAGAACTAATCTAATGGACACACTTTGAGTAAAACACTTGCCACCCCCCCTTCCTGCCCCCCCCCCCCCCCCTCCCCCACACACTTTCCATATAATACGAAAACTGCATTTCATTTCCTGACAATGCAATCAATCAAAAGCTTTGGCAGGGATCACATCTACACTTTGACCAGGCCTGTCAACAATTTAAACAAGAGGTAGGCAAAGAAAGACTTTATGGCAAAGTTTCACAAGAAGAGCTGTCATGAGTGATGGGGGTTTGCAGGTTATAATTGGCAGGTAGGGCAAGAGTTCACATATACGATGGGCTTCCTCATACATGCCACAATGAAAGACAGATGTGTTTGAGTTTTTGGTCAGTAATATTAGAATTATAGCAGAAATTCAGAAGAGCGGATCCAGACAAACGCCAAAGGGCCTGAGAGAATACAATCATGTATAAAAAACAACGTGCTAACTTGAAGGAAATTGAGATTCATTTGCTAAGCTGAGCTAAGAGATTGGCTAAACGAAGCCTATGGTAAGATCCAAAAGCCCACACTGCACTCCTGCACTACTTTGAACTTCTAGTTTGATCCCTTCAAATTTCATATCGTATTAAAGGCATAACAATGGAAAGGTTTTATTGTAAATGTCGAATAACAAAATCACTCGATTTGATTGTTTTCACAAAAAGTTCAGTTTATGACTAAACGAGATAATATATATATATATATATATATATATATATATATATATATATATATATATATATATATAGTCATATATACATTTTTTTCAAATAATTTAACAAAATCAACTATTATTGGTATAACTTTTTTAAATTAGCGACTTTTAATTAACTAAAAACTAAAATAAATAAATAAACAAATAAATAAATAAATGTATTGTATATATAAATAAATAAATAAAAAATAACGAAAACGTCTAATAACAAAATCCCTCGATTCAGACAAAAAGTTCAGTTTATGACTGAGATATGTATATATATACATATATATACTTTTAAATAACTAGAAAGTAAAATAAATAAAAAATAAATAAATAAAAGTATTATATAAATAAATACATAAATGTTTGTATAAACAAATAAATACAGAAATACAGAAATAAATAAATGAATGAATGAATAAATTAATTAATAAATAAATAAATAAATAAATGTATTGTATATATAAATAAAAAAATGTATTGTGTAAACAAACTAATTGTATAAATAAATAAACAAATGAATAAATAAATAAATAAATAAATAATAATAAGTAAATAACTAACTAACTAAATAAATAAATGAGATTCCCCATGTAATAATATATTTTTCAAATTAGCAACTTATAAATAACTAAAAGCTAAAATAAATCAATCCGTAAAAAAATTAAAATATTTTATAAATAAATAAATGAATAAACAGATGTATTGTATAAATAAATGTATATTAGAAATGCACAAATAAATAAATAGATAAATAAATGTATTTTATAAATAAATAAATAAATGAGATTTCCTATTAAATAAATGAGAATTTTTGCTTGCTCTTAAACTAACACATTTTTAACCCCTTACCTGTCGCCCTACACCTTTTAAACGTAGACATGAAATCGCAATGTTTACCTAAAACAAATGTCAATCCTTAATTCTAAGTTTAAAAAGTTTTTAATGAAAAAACAAACAAAATCTATGCGCCTTAGTTTATGAAAATAATAAAACAATAAAAATGCATACAATTCTAAAGATGGTAGGTTCAGTGGTGCTTGATTTGAATTTAGCCTCTAAAAACATCTTTAAAAAAGTATTTTACATGTAGATTGCAAAGTAATGTTTTACTACTCTGAATATCCTTGTTGCAAATGAATCAATAACTTGTTGCTTTTTGAAATCTATTAAAAATCAGTCATCAGATATGGAAACTAGACATTTTTAGAAAAGAAATCTACAATTCTAAAAGAAAAAAAAAATCAGATTGCTTTGTTTAGACTACATTAGTAATGGAATGATGACAGTTTAAGAAAATAAGTTAATCTACAGTCATTGTACATACACTCACTGTAAAAATTCCCTCATGTTGTCCCAACACAAATTTGAGTTAACTTAATAATTTTCACATTTAAGTGGATTAAACATAAAACAATTAGGTTGTATTTTTAGAATTGTGTTGTTTGTACTCAATTTAAATAGGTAATTTTGTTTTTGAGTGCTGGTTGTATTCCCTCAGGCGCTTTAAAAATATCTTTTAAGAAGCTGTATTTGTATTTATATAGCTAGATAGATGTTTGGAATGCTTGTTTAATTAATGTATAAATGATTATTATTAATAAACAATAAACTATTTTAAATATAAAGTCCATTTTTGAGTTTATTGTTTAGATACAGCTTCTTAAGACATAATTAGAGGAAGATGAAGTGCAAGAAATCCCAACAGGCAGACAGACAGACAGACAGACAGACAGAAAGACAGACAGACAGACAGACGTTGTGAGAAAGTTACCGGAAAGCCTGCTCGTCCAGGTGGACCCTGAAAAAGGGACGAGAGAAATGGGTACAGAATAAAGAAAGAACCAACATTTCTGATTGAGAAGAACACAACACCCTGACAAGCCATAATGAAATTCAGCCTGCTTTTATCCTGAGTTGATTTCAGTATTAAATATTGATATAGAATCGTTTATTTTTTTGTAGATCCAGCATTAAATTTCATTGTGGCATGGCTTAAAGATAGCAGAAGGAAAACACTCCAGAGAAGCATTCCACAAATGCAAACACCATCAAATGCATTTACAACAGAATTTCCATTGGACCCCAGAAAATCTTTTTTTTTTTCTCTGTAATGTTATGTATATTTTATTTATTGTCTTTTAAGTTAATTTCTTTTACATTCTCCAATAAAAATAAATTACAATTTGATCAATGAATTTAAATCATCCAAAAAATGGATCACTGAAAAAAAGGGTCTTTATTTAAAACTTTTGTTATACTTCTGATTATACTGCACAATTAGATTTCCACTGTTAATAAGGATTTTTTCAGCAATCACTGGAAAGTAAAAACTTTTGGAAATACAGTACTTATTAGACTTTTTAAATCAATTCAGTTCGTGCCATACTAATTATGATTAATATTTCCTTATGATCATCTTAGTGTATTTATTACTCAACGTTTTGCTATCATTAAAAATAAATAGTTCCACATGTCTTATTAAAAAAAAAAAAAAGATGTTCATTAAGGGGTCCATGCATGCATGAAATATGCGGCTTCACAGATGAAGGTGCTGGCTGAAAATCTTATATCTCATGCTTCACTTCAGAGTCAATTGAGGAGATCGTTTTGTTTTAAATCCAATCAAATAACAAGTTCACTTCCCTCACAGTGCACCATTTAGTTTGGAAAGAATATATATAATTTTTCATGGTAGTGGTTTAGTAGTAAAAAGCTGACAGCTGCTTGATCATTTAAAGAAAGAGTCTTTTTGTTAAGACCACCGTTACGCTCTTCATTATCTGATGATGCATTTATAGCTCTTTTAGAGCCTGTGGAAGTGCAAGTGTGTGTGTGAGTGTCTGTTGACTTTTCTCTTGGAATACAGTGTGGAGAGGGAAGCCATTTATCAAGGCTCAGCCCAGGGGAGGAAACTAATGCAGACGGACAAAAACATCCGTGGCACTATCTTCTGTCTGTGCTCCTTGATTTGACATAAACTATTCTGATTTCAAATATATAACATTTCAATGGAGTTAGTTAGCAGTTGTTTTTCTAAATAAAACAAAATAAAATAAAATAAAATAAAATAAAAAAATTAAATAAAAGCAATTAAATATGCATTCAATAAAAAAGGCTAAAATTATAGAATAAAAAATTAAATAAAACTAAATAAAAACAATTAAATAAAATTAAAAATATTAAAAATGATAAAATAAAACATAAAAAAATAAACAAAATATCATAATTCAGTAATTCAAATAAAATATAATCATTAATCAGACCCAAACATCACTAGTCATAAAGGTGTATAAATAGTTCATAAAACTTCATCAAATCCTGTTTCTGCTGTATTATAGCTTTAAATAGTTTCTGTATTTATGTAGAATAAAAAATACATTGAAATAAATGCAACTAAAATAAATACAACTAAATAAAATGTAAAAAATGTTAAATTATAGAACAAAAATTTTAATAAAATAAATACAATAAACTAAAAATTAAAAATAGGAAAAATAATATAATGAAAAATAAAATAAAACAAAACAAAATAACAAAAATAAAGTAATTCAAATGAATCATAATCATTAATTAGAGACCCAAACATCACTAGTTATAAAGGCTTATAAATAGTTTATGAAACTTCATCAAATCATGTTTCTGCCCACATGTAACTTTAAATAGTTTCTGCTTATACAGTATGTAGAGTAAAAAAAAAAATTAAATAAATGCAACTAAATTAAATTTAAATAGTTTGAAATTTTAAAAAATAAATAAATAAATAAATATAATCAGATAAAATTTAAAAATATGAAAAATAATTGAACAAAAAATGAAATTAAAAAAACAAATTTATAAAATTTAGTAGTTAAGAATGTAGAATAATAAAACATATTTAAATAAATGCAACAAAAATAAATACAACTAAATACAATTAAAAATAGGTTAAAATTTTAGAATAAAAACAAAAATAAATATAGTTAAATAGCTTTAAATAGTTTTTGCATACATGTAGTATAAAAAAATGCATACATAAATACATGCATACTTATATGCATACAGTTGAAGTAAGAATTATTAGCCCCCTGCATTATTAGCCCTGTTTTTTATTTTTCCCAATTTCTGTTGAATGGAGAGTAGATTTTTTTCAACACATTTCTAAACATAATAGTTTAAATAACTAATTTCTAATAACTAATTTATTTTATCTTTGTCATGATGACAGTAAATAATAATGTACAAGTTATTTTTCTTCTATACAGCTTAAATTGACATTTTAAGGCTTAACTAGGTTAAATAGGTTAACTAGGCAGGTTAGAGTAATTAGGCAAGTTATTGTATAACGATGGCTTTTTCTGTAGACTGTCGAAAAAAATATAGCTTAAAGGGGCTAATTTTGACCGTAAAATGTTTGTTTTTTTTTAATTAAAACTGCTTTTATTCTTGCAGAAATAAAACAAATTAGACTTTCTCCAGAAGAAGAAAAAAATATCAGACATACTGTGAAAATTTCCTTGCTCGGTTAAACATAGTTTGGTGAAATAAAAAAAAATAAAAATAAAAATAACCTAAAAGGGTCTAATAATTCTGACTTCAGCTGTACATATATACATTAAATAAATACATAAAAAAAAAATTAAACAAACAATCTGCCTTGTATTCTGCAGCGATGCAATAAGTTGATCAAATGTGCCATTACAGAAATAATGCTATAAAGTATTTAAATTTTAAATAAAAAGTTTGAACCTTTTTTAAGTCTAATATTAAAAAGCATTCTATAATAACTGTTTTCAACACTGAAAATAATATGACTTTTTTTTTGAGGCACCAAATTAGCACATCAGATTCCTGAAGGCTGAAAATGCACCTCTGACATCACAGGAATAAATTTAAAAATGTTTTAATTTGGAAAATAGTGTTAAAAATATCATATTACTTCAAAACAACTGTATTTTTGAAGTAAAATAAATGCCACCTTGGAAAGTTTTAAAACAATTTAAACCATTTTAAATGATCAAAAACATTTAAACAGTAAATAAAACAGAGTTATGGTTGCAAATAAATAATTATTTAATATAATTTATAATATCATGAACATTTCCATTATTTAATGCAGTTTTAAGCAATTATTCATGCATACGTTTAATAGAAATATACATATTTAATACTAAAAGTAAATAATAAAATAATAAAAACAATAAAAATAAATATTTTTTGTATTTCTGGGCAATCAGAAATCACTGGACTCATAATAACACTTGTATTGACTGCTGAAGTGTGTGGCAAACAATCAAATACCACTAATAGGATCTATGGGTTCAAAAGTCAAAGGCGCACATGTGGAAGAGCAGCTGGACAGGGTGTGTATAAGTGGCGGTACATAGAGAATGCAACAGATCTTCGCTGGATGAAGCTGCGATCAGGACTGTGTATAGCGGTCTGTGTGTGTGTATATATGAACGTGTTGAAGTATGGTGAGCAGGTCTAAGGTGCAGGTCCAGGTGCTGAGTGGGAACAGGCCACTGAGACCTTCTGGGTGCTACTCAAATCAGCCAAAAGCAGCGTCTGGTGAGGTCAGAGGTCACCCACCGGAAGAACACTTCATTTGTGATCCACGGTAGCGGGGTACATGTGGCTCTCATTTAGCCCGCAGCGCTGCTGGGTAAATGGAGGGGTCCCCTAGAGGAAAACGGGCCAGAGCATTTCCCTAGAGCCCAACATTGCACGGATAAGCGATATTTGGTGCATAAAGGGCACTTACAGATCACATGCAGTAAAAATACGGAGAAATCACGTAGGGAAAACTAATTTAATTATGCTGTACTTTTAAAATAAAGAGCCATTGTGGTATTTTACCACACAAATACTGTGGTGATATGTTAATTGTTAGCTATGATAATATTTTTGAAGTGATTTACAAACTTTGACTGAATATGCTTCTTTCCAAATACAGCCCTCCTTTACATTTCATATATTTCCCAAACAAATAGGCCAAGGGAATTTTCACAATATTTCCTATAATAGTTTTTTCTTGTTTTATTATTATTATTATTATTATTATTATTATTATTATTATTATTATTATTATTATTATTATTATTATTATCATTATTAGTATTATCATCATCATTATTATTATTATTATTTGTAGTAGTAGTATTATCATCATCATTATTATTATTATTATTAACATAATAATAATAATAATAATTATTATTATTATTTTCATCATCATCATTATTGTTATTATTATTAGTAGTATCATTATTTTTATTATTATTATTATTATTATTATTATTATTATTATTATTATTATTTCTATTTATTTATCATTTACCTTATTTACCTTACATTTACCATTTTTATTGGGTTTTTCTAAACATTAAAATAAGACATCTAAACATCAGAACATCACATTAAAACAAAACGACTCCAGAACAACATACAAAACTTTAAAATAATAACAACAGTACAAAATAAAAATAAGGGGGGGGGGGGTTAATAATAATAATTCCTTACATTTATATAACACTTTTTTAGGCCCTCAAAGCGCTTTACACAAAAGATTTTTGGATACTCAAGCAAACGCATGAGTTCGCATGGCCCCAGATTTTATTTGAGTTTAATAGAGATTTTGTCTGAAATAGGTATGACTGTACAGACAATTGTATGCGTGACCGAGATAACCAGATCTTGGCTAGAAATTGCAACAGCCATGGGAAAGGAAAATGTTTTTGTAAAACAGTTTAGAAAAACTTGAAGGATAAATTTGTTAAAGCGAAAAAGAGTGGCCATGGCAAAGGTGGAGACCCAGGTAGT